TATTTTGATAAAGGGGAGGTACGTTCTGCTCAGCGAGACTTGAGTGAGTCCAGATTTGCTAGGCAAACAATTGATATTATTTACATTATAAGCCAATTATTTAATTAAAAAGGTATTATATATTTCTTCATTTAATACTTCAAACATTCATGAAATGTGACATTATTATTACTACTCTCCTGGGTAAAAGAGATTAGGTTCAGAGAGCTGCAAGGCAGTGACAAGCTGAGATCTGGGCTCAGGTCTCCAGCCTGTGGTCTTTCCATAATATATAATATCAAACCAAAAACTGAGAGAAGTTGGAGATGTGACCCCAGTTGACCATTTCATATTGGAACACTTTTTTTCCATTCCTTTGCTTTTCTTTTTCTCCTAAAAAAAGTTGGGCTATTTGACAAGAGTCCTCAAAAGAATAGTTAACAAGAGAGAAGTCACTACCCTACTCTAAGAAAAATGATTGCTTAACTGTTGTAACTTTTACTTTGCCTGTAGAATTCTACTTTCTGTTATACAGAGTTATTGGGCAAGAGGTAAAGGGAACAACAGGAAATGAACTTAAACACAAATATAACTGATCATATTTGGTTTAATGATATCACAAGTTATGATAAATATAGACATATAGAAGAATTTCAGTGTTTGATACTTACAAGTATCAAGACTAAGGTGTGCATTTGGTGCATTGGATAAACATTGGACTTGGGGAACTTGGGAGTTTCAATTGTCTACTTTGCTTTTCCCTTTTTAGGCATACAGTATGGAAGGCTGCTGGTTGTTGCAGAGCTTGACTTTGTGAATCAGATTCTGTGCTTCCAAGGGAGCAGAAATTATGAGAAAATGAATGTGTTTTGTTACGTAGTACAGAATTCAAGGTGATTTCCCACACACAAGTCACAAACACCATGGAACAACCTGTTGAAATAAAGAGGAAGGAGTCAAAATTTGGAGTGGGAAAACCTGGAATCAGGTCCCAGTTTTACCCAACTACCAATATCAGACTGGATCAAATAATTCTTATCCCTGGTCATGGTCATCCAATAATTCTTAGCTCTGCTCATGATTTCTCATCTGCAAAATAGAGATATGGGCTTTGGGGAACTGTGAGTCTAAAATAAGATAGCAGATACAAAAAGTTCACAGAAACTGCTAAGTAATCATATGAAATGTCGTCATTGATAGTATTTTAATTCACATAAGAGGATCAAGAGTAGCTGTCTTCTCATTTGTCCTCACTTGGCAACTACAGGTCTTTAGTCTTTATGGATCTATTATAATTTGTATTCTCATTTACCAACAAATTATGTGCTTTCTTATCAAGTTTTTTAGTTGAGACTTTATTCTTTGGAAGTCTCAGTTCAGGTTGAATATATAAAGTGACAACTCATTTTTTTTTTTTAGCAAAATTTAGAATGGAGGAGGGGGGTGACTATGGAGGAGCCCAGCAGGGGTGTGGTGGATGGTTAAATTCCTGCTCTAATACTTGCCAAGCATCTTAATTTACTCACCTATAAAGTGGAAGGATAATTGAGGTAATTATCTCATAGGGCTTTTGGGCATTAAATGAAATCTGTGCCTATAATGTAGTGAGTGATAAATATATTTATTACTGCTGTCATTAGAAACTTGAAGTTCTTCTCATAGCAAAGCCCCTTTGATAGGGTCAAAGGCAGAGCTATGTAATACAAACTATGTCAAAGCATATTCTAGAGAGTTGGCTGCCTACTCTACCATACCTAAAAGTGTCTACCAGTTTAGTGGCTCAGTTATTGGAAAGTTAGCTCTCTGCAGTCACTCTTAGGCTCTGAAAATAAATCTATGTGAATTTTATTTGGTTTGATTTAGTCATCTGTCCTCTCACACAGGGTCATAACCCATTTCATTAGTTTTTTATAAATTAATACATTAACTTTCAAATTTCTAGTTAGTTTTCCCTCCTCTCCTCTTCCCTCCCCTGTTCCTTTGCTTTGCTCCTGCCAATCCATCTCTCTGTCCATCTCTACCTCCCTGCCTGATTGCCATCTTTCTCTCCGCCTCTCAGAATCTGTGCTAGACCTGGCTGGAGCACAGACAAGTGTCAGACACAGTCCCTACCTACAGCCCAAGACAAGTGACAAAGTGGACAAAAGGTAGACTGCTAAGAATCTCAAGTTACACCAGTGGTATAGAGGAGGGATGGCTGAGGGAGATTAGGGAGGTCTTTGGGCTGAACCCCAAAGGCTGTCCAGGAGGTGGCCATGTCAGCACTCAGGAAGGGAAAGAAGGAATGTATTCCAAGCTGAGAAGGAGCAGGGGCAAAGGTACAGAGGAGGACCACTCTTGAGGAAGATGAATCGAGGAAATTTAGGACAACCATTTTGCTATCTCCTCCCTACTTTTAATACTCAGATCAAATAGTCTTCAAGGAAAACCTGAGTATGTCACCAAAATAATTCCCAGCTGTGATCTACATTCCCAGGCATTGATTTCCTGGGCTTGATTTTCTTTGTTATCTCGCTTAGCTCCTGAGGTTTATCAGTGGGTTTTATGTTTAGCCTTTACCCATTCAGATAATAACTACTGTCATTATCACATTAGTCTCCAAGGGACCATTGTGGTGTTTGTTAATCTGGTGCTCTTCCTTCTAGCTTTAGTCTGTGATGAAGTCACCAGTGAACTGCAAAGGGAAATGGTTTCAATTAGGGTCCTACAAGAAGGGACCTTCTTGTGCTCGCTTCAGCAGCATATATATATATACTAAAATTGGAATGATACAGAGAAGATTAACACGGCCCCTGTGCAAGGATAACATGCAAATTCATGAAGCGTTCCGTATTTTAGGAAACTGAGACCCCACACAGTGTTCTTGAAGAAATTGGAGCGACATGACTCTCCTCCTTTGTTGATGACTTCTTATGGCATTTTACACACTATAGATGGTCACTGCCTTCATGTCCATGTTAGTTAACAGTGTAAGATGATGTCTTGTCAGTATGACTGTTTTGCTAAGCTGATTAATTCAGGCATACATTTTTTTTTAAAAAAAGGGAACTTTGGTCGATTGAATAATAAGGGACTTAAATATGGATTAGAAATATGCATAAAGTACCTTTCTTGGATTTCTTAAATTTATAGGTCTATTTCTATTTATCATAACTGATTAGGTGCATATATGAAAATGACACATCTGTATACAAGCAATATTTATCAAACAATTTGGCAGTATACATATATTAATTACTGTATTTGACAAAGGAAGATTAAATTAGAATGTGAAGCCTGGTTCAATGAAACAAAAGATGAGTGCAGCATTTCAGTATATATGATAAAAATAAAGGGAATTGACATGTCACATATCGAATGAATGAAAATTTAATTGTTGAAATTTACACAGAAACAAATTTACACCAAAGAACCCTATTGGACACTACATACCTTAAAATAAAGGAAATATAGGTTATTTTAGATGAAATTGGAATGATGTCATTTAAAAGTAGTATCGAAGCATTTGGAATGAATGGGACAAGCAACAGAGATTGCTTCATAATAGCGCATAATTTTTAAGGCCAAGGTACATTTGACCTCTGAGATGATTTTGTGTGTATATGTATGGTCATAATCATTTGGTTACTCAGTTGGATTGTTTTTGATGCCCCCAAATGAAGCACAAATGTTAATTTACCAGTTGTTCATGACAGTTTTCTTACAGAAACATTGCTCTCTTCACAGTGTGGTGTAAAGTCCTTGTTTGAAGCATGCATGTTCCTTCTGGGGTGCTTGTTCAAGCCGACTTTATTTTGCTTCCCTATTGCTTCCTTCCAATTAGAAGTGCTGCAAACTTTACAGCAGTTTCCTTTCTTTGCTGGGCACTACCTAGTTATCAGAAGTTGTATAAAAATCTTAAAGAGGCACCTTTCATTTAGCAGTGAGAGTCACAGTTAAATGGCATTAGGTGGCTCTATTGTTTTTAAAGCTTATATAATTGTTCAGCATCACTTTTATACAAACTTACACAAATCTAAACATGTTTTCATGACTTACACTTTCACCTGAATATCCTGGGCTGGATTAAGCTTTGTTGTCATTGTGACCAACATGCAGGCCATGCGAGCACTGTCCTATCCCCTCGCCAATTAGCTGAAATAAATGTTCAACATTTGAAAAATAAAAGAGGTGGGGGGACCTTGCATCCTGGCTGTGCTAACATCTCCACGGTTACCTCTGGGCACGTTCATTCAGGCAGCCAGTCTTTTTTATCTGTTCATTTTACTCTCATGAAGCTGGCCTCTGGGCTCCACACTGAGGGGGAGATAAAAAACAATAAAACATGGTTCCACTTTCAAGGTGATCTGGAAGGACTATAGAGAATATAAGCAGAAAATAATTAGGAGCACAAGAGAGGGATGGTTAAAATCTTTTGGAGTTGGCATAGTGACTTTTTTCTTTCCTCCTGGTGGGATTGTAATCAAGAGACCCTCCTGAAAGAGGTAGACTTTCAGACAAGCCTAGAAAGATGGGGATGATTTAATTGATTTGGTTTGCTCACCTTCAGAGATCCACAGAAACCTATGGAATACTTGTTTTTCTTCCTGTGAAATTCTGCATGTGGCTGAAGCCCTGTGGACAGAAAGACAGTGGAGGAAAGTAGCCCTTAGCTGAGCATGTGCCTCCCGACTACAGATCCCTTAATAAGATGGCAACCCTGGGCTGGGGTTGTGACTCAGCGGTAGAGCACCTGCCTAGCATATGCGGGGTCTTAGGTTCCATCCTCAGCACCACATATGAATAGATAAAATAAAGGTATTATGTCTAACTACAACTAAAAAAATATTTTTAAAAAGATGGCAAACCTTTCTCCCCTCCTAATTCTATGCCTACCATCTTTCAAAGGCATATCATTTTGTCAAAAATATTCACTAACTCCATAAACTTACAGAATTATATTAAAACGATGTTTTTCAGATTGAATTTTAGCCTGAGGGATTCTCTTAACATCACCGGGGTTTTGATGTCTGTTTCCACAGGATGAATTCCAAACTTACTCTTCGAAAAAGGTAGTGTGGATCCACCTGTCAACATTAAGCAGCACATTTGGTCTTACCCCTGATCACCCTCTCATTACAGATGAGGAGTTTATCATAAATAGAGCCATCAGAAAGCCAGACCTAAAGGTAAGTAAAGTTATGGCTATGGCTGATGCCAGAGAAATTTAACCTTCCCCCTTCCCATATATAAGGTTAAACTTGTCCATCACTGTACTAATTCTCAATCAACAGGATAGGACCTTGTAAAGGACGTGCACCTGAAACCACACAGAGCTCAGTTCAAATCTGAGCTTCAGCTTCTAAGCAATGCAATCTTGTATAAATTTCTTAACTCTGTGGAACCTCAGGTTTCCTAACTATAAAAGAGTAATGATGCCTATCTCTAATATTAATTGATAAAATTTAACAAAGATCAATATAATGCCGGGTACATAGTGGGTGCTCAACACATGTCAGCTCTGAAAAGCATTGGTCCCTGTTTGATAATGTGTATAATAGAGTTAATCTTACAGTAAAGGTAATCATCCAGGAGTATTCCATGGAGTTTGCTCATATCTGCAAACTGACCTTATTTTTAATTGTGTCATTCAAATGGACATGGGTTACTCCCTTTTTGCTTTAGTTGTGACTAGCTAACATTCATATTTAAAATGCATTTTGTAAGAATCTTTTATATTTCTATACACTTAGCTGTTTAAATTAGTTTTATGAGCTCAAGTGTAATTTTTTTAAATAATAAAAAATCAATTACTGAGGAGTTTCTCTGTTGCCAATTGTTCCCACTCAGTTGTGTTGACTGCCAAAATAAACAAAACCAAGAGGTCAGGCACCCTCCAGGGACAGATTGCCTCACCTCAGGTGGCCATTCACCTGGAGAAGTCCTGGGCCTCAGAGCTTTGTTGCCTGAAATTCTAGCCTGTTTAGTTGTATTAATAAATAAGGAGAGTAACTAAGAACAGAGTAGGGTCGAAGAGCATGAGAAGAAGATTAACATTAAACAGGGATGAGAGGTGGGAGGGAAAGGGAGAGAGAAGGGAAATTGCACGGAAATGGAAGGAGATCCTCAGGGTTATACAAAAGTACATACAAGAGGAAGTGAGGGGAAAGGGAAAAATAATACAAGGGGGACAAATGAATGACAGTAGAGGGGGCAGAGAGAGAAGAGGGGAGGGGAGGGGAGGGGAGGGGGGATAGTAGAGGATAGGAAAGGCAGCAGAACACAACAGACACTAGTATGGCAATATGTAAATCAATGGATGTGTAACTGATGTGATTCTGCAATCTGTATATGGGGTAAAAATGGGAGCTCATAACCCACTTGAATCAAAGTGTGAAATATGATATATCAAGAACTATGTAATGTTTTGAACAACCAACAATAAAAAATTAAAAAAAAAATTAAATAAATAAGGAAAAAGACAATGAAGACATTCTCAAATAAACAAACAATGTGAGGAAGGACAGAGGTCTTGAAATGAAGTTTAGATACGCCAGCATGAAGTCTTCATTTATCAGCTTAGCACGGGGGAGTTTGGCTGGTTACTGCCTCCCTGAGGCTTGAGTTTCTTATTTATAAAATAAGAGTCAAAATCCCTTCTCTGCCTGTTTCTCAGGGCTGTGAGCCTAAATGTGAAAATGGATATTAAGGTGATCTCTGAATTACAACAGACTATATTCTTAGGAAGGTTTAAAACTTTCACTAAAGTCAGAGGAAATGTCATGGGCTCAGCCATGATGACACGGATGGGAACGATAATTAAAACAGCGATCCCAATATGACAACCATTTATGGGAGTGTGGAAACTTTAATGGGGTATGTGGAGACTGCAGTAAAGAACTATGTCAGGTTTTCAAATGCAGGTTAAGAGGAGACTATAAGGACCATTTTGTAGGATTGCAGGTAAAACTGAAATCCAGTACTTCACCTGATAGGGGTACACTGTTACATATTCCAACAAGAAATGAAGAGTGAGAATTGTGGGAAGAGGACATTTTCCAGATTACTGAGCAGAAAAGTGAAATTCACCCCACAAGAGATACTTGATCTCCTAGTTACTGTTTTCTAGTTTGAAGTTTCAGGAAATGGGCAAATAAATTTACGCCTTGCAAATGTTATACTTGACATCGATTACAAGTTTCCAGAAGCTCTGAGGGTGATGGCGGAAGCAGATAAACTCTAGGCAGAGGTGCTTACAAGGTCTACAATGGAGTAGTTCTTCTCACTCTCTGAGGAGTGACTTCAGAAATTGTCAGAAGAAAATGGAATCTGTTTTCTCACTTGAGGTGAAACTCACCAGGAACCTGTGTTCCTCATTGTTGCTGCCTTCATCTGTAGAAGTTTTGTGTCTATTATGTTTTATAAATTTCCCAGTCTGTGGCTTCACAGCCTCTTGGTGCAGGTTCTCTAACTGAGGCAGGGGACCTCACATTCCACCAGTGTGTCCTTTAACATTTTTCTAACACAATTTTCAAATATATGGAATTTAAAAAGTAGGCAACTCTTAATCTATACATCTTGAACCCCAAACTTAAGGGATTTTTAGATTTTCTTTTGAGACTAACTTGAGTCTTCTATCCTTTACAAGACTGAGTTTTGAAACCATGTGCGCTGGAGCTAAGATTCAAGCCTTGTGAGTGACATAATCACAGTGAACATTAGGTACAAAGCAAAAATGAAATTAGTGTCTGCCTTATCACAGGATGATAAGCTCTAAATTCTCAGAAATAGTAGCCATAATTAGTAACACTATTTGCAAAACTGCAGGGAATACCAAAAAGGAAACCAAGTTATGAGGCAAGAAACCTGAGGGTCCAACATGGACCATGGTAGCTAACATGCCTCAGGCGGATCACTTTTCAAATACTCTTTTTCCCTTTCAATTTGCAGTGTATGCGAAAAGTATCATCCCCAATGACAATAGGGTATGTTCTGAAATAATTCATTTTGCAACCAATCTCATTGAAGTACATTCATTCTGTAAAATTTAAAAATATGGCATCTAACACTCTTGGTAACTATCAAATATGTGTGTGTTTGTACTTATTGAGTAGGATTACCATTCATGTGAGGTAACCTAGGTCTTAGACCTTAGAGACTTAAACTCTAGTTCTAGTTGAGATGTGGTTTAACAAAGCATTCATTTGCTTATTTAATAAAAAAAATGTTTTGAGCAATTATTATGTACCAGCTATATGATCTTTTCAGTCTTTAACTACTCTGAAGAATCACCTCAGAAATGTTAGAAGAAAATGGAATCCATCCATACATACAGAATTTAGAGAAAGAAACTGAAAAAGAACTTAGGGAAATTTAGTAGAAGTTCTCAAGGACACAAATATCAGAGTTGCCACAAAAGAAAGTCTTGAATACTGTTCTTCAACCTTGGCTGTACGTTGGAATTACCTGCCCCAGGTACACTGCAGACAAACTAAATTAGAATCTCTTGTTATGGGACCCAGACAACAGCAATTTTTCAAGTTCCTCAGAAGCTTCAAACAAGGAACCTGAGGTTATAACCACATCATATCAATCATATGGCTTCACATCAATATGGAAGTTCCACTGTTTTCTCTCTGTGATTGGCGAGCTCACCAGTTCATGGGAATTCAGATTCATACCTAAAGTTTCTTACACAAATCTAAAGTATGAAAGAACAATAGTGATAAGCATTAATCCTCCTTTTTTTTCCATTACTAACACCCTCAAAGCCTCATTTTCTGGAGCATATTTTCTTTCAATAACTTCCTCTTTCCCCTTTAGTATCTGCTGCCAGCCTAATCTTCTTTAGTGCCACTTCTTTAGGTTACTGCACAAATCTATTGCCTGTGAGAGAAGGTTCCAGATACCTCATCCTAGCCTTGAAGGCTGCTCTTAATGTAGTCTTTATTCTGCAGTTGAATAGTGCTACCCTCTTGCCTCCTCGCACTCAACTATTTGTGCACAATTTCTTTGAAATTCTCTCTTCACTTCTCATCTGAGCAAAATCTTTCCAACCCTTCACTGCTGCAGTTCAGATGACATCTCTTCCATGGGCCCTCTGTCATCTGCCCTCTCTATATTTCTACAATATTTTAAGAATATTTTTAAACTTAAAATATTTTCATTTCTTTGACATACACATACTAGACTATGTGGCATAGTTTTCTTTTGGGAAATGTATTTTGTTTCCTTATTAGGATATAAGGTAATGGAATGTAAAGATTGAGATTTTGTTATTCATATATTTATCTGTATAGTAGGCCTGTGATACATGTTGATTGATGATTTCTAATAAAAATGACATTTGTGGAGCAGGAAAGAATAGGGTAAGTTTTAGAAAAGAAAATCTTAGTTCTAAGTATTTAAGTTCTATCTTTGCTTTTTATAAATGCTTCTTTAGACACTGAATTGCTGCATATTCACCCAATCTACAAACTGGAGATTTTCTTAATACATTTTTCTTGCAGGTGAGATGCATAAAGGTGCAGAAAATGAGATATGTTTGGAATAACTTAGAAGGACAGTTCCAAAAAGTCGGGTAAGTTGTTTTGGCAAGTGCATTGAAAGAAGAAAAATGTTATCTCAAAAATGTTATTGCTAAATGCATCCTTCTCATTATTATTTTAGCTCGTTGGAAGACTGGCTCAGTTCTGCCAAGATACATCTAAAATTTGGATCAGGTCTAACAAGAGAAGAACAGGAGATTAGGTATCATGCATATTATTGTCTATTTTAGCTCAAAAGAACAGTTAGTAAAAAAAAAAAAAAAAAAGAGCTCAGTAAGTAGTTACCCTAATTGATTAATATCAGAAAAATCTGCAATGCTCTATTTAGCATTATTAAATTAAATGCTTTCACATACCTTATCTCATGCATCTTCAGAGCAACCGTGTGAGGGAGAACAGACCTCATCATCATCCCCACATAATAGATATGAAATCTGAGGCCCAGAGAGGTTTTGATGTCCCAAAGGAGGTCACACAGATGGGAAGAGAGAGAGAAAAAACTGAGTCCATACTTTCAACTGTAGGTTTAGCACTCTTTTCTGTTCTACATAATGCTTCTCAAGGTTACAAAAATAATAGAGTTGAGCCTATTTTGATTGTAATCAGGAAATACATATAATATCATGATAGTACAATTACACAGCAATTATGAAGCATCAGAAAAATGACATGCAAGATGTGTAGCTCTGCTGCTCCAAATCAATTACTAGGCAGAGAAGCAAGGTTTAGGAAGGGCACTGAAATGTCAAGAGTCTGTGGCTTTGAGCAAGTATTTTCTCTCTGGGCTCTAGTTTCCGAAGGATGAAAGTGGAAGAAGGATTCTATAAAGGTCTCACTGGTTCTAAATTTCTATGTATCTTACACTGCCTCCTGCCCCTTTTCTAGTACTTTCAAGATACCTAAAGCCTTGCAGCATCAACATCACCTGGGAGTTTGTTAGAGATGCAGAGTCTCAGAACACATCTTGCTACTATTGAACAAGAATCTGCATTTTAATGAGATCATACAAATTATATGTGTTTATATTAAAGTTTGAGGAGCACTACTGTAATACATTCAGCAAAGCTATTTAATCCCAGTGTCTATATGGAAGGCACAGAGAGAGTAGTTAGTGTTTTCAACAGCAAAATAACTCAGGAAGTTCCATTGCTCTGCATGATCAAAGGAGTGCATCTCAGGGTCTTCAACTGGAGAATGCAGAATTTTGTGTCAAGCTATTTTTGAGAGTCCAGGACCTTCCTACTCACATTAAAACATGATACAAAATCTCAGGAACTTTTGACTAAGAGGAATAAAATAAGGAAAGCATTTCCTTACCACTAAAACTATTCTGTCTTAGTGATCTCCCTCTTCTACTTTCATGGGAAGAGACAGAGTTGAAAAGATGCTAATCCTGAAACTAACTTGAACGAGATAATGGGTGTTAGGAAATACCCAAATTGCCACTTATGGAAATATTTAGACGTTGGGGAGAGTCTAGTTCAATAGAAGCAAGATGATTATGTTTATTATTTTTGCACTTGGGAGCCTTCTGCTATTTTGAGCTGGGTGGGAGAGTTACAGAATAAGATAGGCTTATGTTGATGCCAGAAGTGAGAAAGGGGTCATAAAATAGGCCTTTTCTGAATGGGCAGGGAATGAGCTTCCTTTTCCTTATTAGTGACTGGACGATCTGTGATCTCTCCCTGTAGGAGGCTAATATGTGGGCCTAATACTATTGATGTTGAAATCACACCTATTTGGAAACTGCTCATCAAGGAGGTAATTTCTCCAGGATTTTCTCTTTGCATTAGACAGGAAACAAAGAGGTTATGTTCTGGTCAAGCAATCAGGAGTGCTGCTTGTTAATAAGTAGCCATAAGTGGGAGATATTTTTTAAACATCAGGCATAGTTTCTTCAGATCTCTCATCTACCCTTTTCTTTTAGTTCCTCTTTTGCACATTGCCTGGGATAATATTAGGCTTTGATGCTTGTGTGTCTACTTATTATTTGATGACTGGATAAATATGGTTTTCTTTTCTTTTTTTCTTTCTTAATTCAATGCTGCCTAGCCTGTTTCAACTTTGTGAAACTAAAATTATATGTATTATGTACATATAAAATATACAAATTCTATATAAATAAATATGTTTATGTAGCACATATTTAGAAAAACCAATAATTTTCTTAGGCAACATATACAATTTCCTCAATGTCCAAAATTATAGGAAGAAAGCATCTGTTCAGTTCTACTGATCTCAATGTATATGTAAGAGACAAAGAAGAACTTGACCTTCATTTGCCAAGTTTAATTTTTTCTCTTGAATCCTATCTGGGCTTATCATTTTTCAAACCATAACCATATAGTAGTACTGTGGGTCTTACCCTGTACTCCACCTCCAATTATCCTTGCCTTAAAAAATAGATTACTAAATTCAGCTGGATATTTTCAGTGAAGTTTTGAGCATGAAAGAAAGCAAAACAAATTGGTAGGAAAAGTTCTATGTGTTTCATCCCCAACCTGAAGCAAGGATTACCATTCTTGTTTTAGACAGATGCAAAACAACCAGAGGAAATTTGAGGAAGGGTACCAAATGCTTTTAACCAAAGCAGGATCACAGCTATTGGGGATTATATCTATTCTCTCTGAGTGTTTTAGATGCTCAGTTGTAGCTTACTACTTTCAGCTCAGCTCTGTACATATGGGAAAACGTGGTCTTCAACTCATCCATGAATGTAAACTCTTCAATGGCTTCAAATATGGCCACTGTGATGTCCTAGAGAAGAACAGTAGACTAGAAGGTGTTTTAATTGTGCCAACCTGAATGAATTCTTCCCCTTTCTGAAGGCCAGTAAATGTAAATGGGAGATGGTGATACCTCCTCTTTACACAACTAATGTGATGGTCAGTTTGATGATACAAGAGGAACTAGTTTGTAAATTGTAAAGTGTGGCAGTGAGTAAAAGCAAGTACTCTCGGGTTAGATTGTGTGGGTTTCAGTTTTGACAGCCACAGCTGTGTGACCTTGGGCAAGTTTCTCAATACTTCAGGCTCAGTGTCTTTATCTTTGCAATGGTAATAAGTCATGACTTCTGGTTAATAAGGTAATTATGGAAATAAAAGGAGCAAATTCAGACAAAGTTGCTTAGTGCAGTGTCTGGGATATGACTACTGACTAAATATAATAAGGAAAATGACATGATGTGGGGTGATTTATGTCATAGAGATGATTATGAAAACGGGTCAGTGAATAGCTATGTGTGAGGCCTAAATATCTCCCTTGTCTTCGTGTTTTATATCTGCCAACAGGTTCTCAATCCATTTTACATATTTCAACTCTTCAGTGTCTGTCTGTGGTTTAGTGAAGACTATAAAGAATATGCTGTTGCCATCATAATAATGTCCATCATTTCCATAGCTCTGACAGTGTATGACCTCAGAGAGGTGAGTTTTCCCAGTAAGCCCGTAGTCTCAGAAAGGGAGCATTAGTGCTTCATTAAAATTTTCTTGGAAAGGAGAATCATGAAATAGTCATTGCTCAGTTCAGATTTGGAATTATATAATGGCCAATGCTCAACAAGTTAGTTCTTTCTCTTCCCTCACGTCCCAATCCCTAGTCTTTCAGGTTATATTTTTCCCCGTGGAAGGTGGAGAAGTCTGTTTAATAAGAACTTAATTTGAATATGCCCTTTATGTTTGGTTAGTACTCATTTGTCAAAGCTCCAACTTAATCCTTAGCTTCTTCATGCCTGAAACAGGGGATCTAGGGGCTGTTGGAAGAAAATCACATAGAACAGATTGGTTAGTCACACTACAAACCCATGAGAGCCAAGCTTATCTAGGAAAGCTTTCTATACATGTCTGATCAAGGTACTCTCCCATTCTCTGAAATTGAGGTTTCAAATCCAGTCTCTCTTCAGGTTTCTGGAATGTCCATTTCCCCATATTCCACTTTTCCTCTCATTCAGCAGATAATCTCACATCACAAGACGATGAAAGCCTAAGATAGGAATTTGCTCAAATCCCCCTTCTCCAACTATCAGATGAGCCATCTCTCCAGCTCCTGCTCTCTCTGTCCTCTCAGTGCAATGGAAGAAGTGCCCTCGGCCCACACCTGAGATACTGTCCTCTTCCACCTTCCTGGTGCTTATGCAGCCCATGATGACTCATTTTTTTCTGTCTCCACAAGAGTCTTCCCATCACTGTTTAGCACCCCTAACCTTCTTCGAACTGAAAAATAAAGTTCAAACAAAGCAACTCTTTATTCCTTCAGGGGCTGCTATGTCTCATCTTCTTTTACTGTAAAATTTCTTGAGTCTCTGTGCCTGCTCTTGCCATTATTCACCCTCCTCCTTCTTTTCACTCATGCTGAACTGGTTTTCTCTCACAACTCCACTTAAACAACACTATTTAAGGTTGACACTATTAACCTAAATCCCATAGATGGTTTTAATTTTTTTAAGTGTGTTTTTGTATGTGGGAATTTTATTGTTGAGTGCTTTCAACAACGTTAATCAAAGAATGAGTGAGGAAAACAGGAGAGAGAGAGGGAAGAAGGGAGAGAAATGGAAGAAAAATTGAACAGCAATGTGATTGCAACAAAGGCCTTAGCTAATTCCAGTTCTGGGGACCAGAATCTTTCTTCAGAATCATCCTGAATCAAAGTCGGAGTGCCAGGTCGTCCGTCATATACCACATTGCAATGCAGCTCCCCCTACAGAGAGGTTGTGACCTTGGTGAGACAGCTTCCTAATGCCGAGAGCAACCTATGAAAGGCTTTACCAAGAGCAGCCCGAAGCCAATATTCCCAGCAGCTGGGGGAATAATTGCCTCAGACCTGGAAGGGGTATCTGGGAAGCACACCATAGTAGTAGTAATTTTTAAAGAAATCTTTTAAATTAACTAGTTGTTTTTCTTAATAGAAGGAGGCCATGATACATGTGGCCATGATAAACTTTCAAACAGAACAAAATAGTGTGAATGAAAATTAAGGACCCTTCCCATTAGAGGAACTTCCCGGAGTCCAACTCTCCTCTCAAGAGTGATCTATCAGGTGTTCTGTATACTTTTCTCAACATTAAATGCACTCCATTAATTTGTTTTTCAGAATGGAAGTACGCTATGTACACTGTTCTGCACTTGCATTTTTCAACCTAATATATCTTGATTATCTTTTTGTATCTGCACAAATATATTTTCTCTAGATCAACCACGGTCTTTAAAATGGTCTAATAGCTACTCAGGATAGGTACTTAGGGTGTTTCTAATCTTTTGCTACTAAACAGAGCTGCAATGAGAATCCTTGCACACATACCTTTTCTCACCTCTAGATCTATATGTGTATATGTACATCTCTACATATCCATATTACATATATAAGTTACAAACATGTAATTTGTATTACATATAAACATGTATATAGTATATATATGCTTATATATCTATATTGATATGGAGATATAAAATTTCTGCAATTGGAATTAGTCTTGTGACAAGCTGGGTGCATTATTTTAATATATGTTGTCAAAATGCCTCTTAAAAAGCAATACCAATTTATACTCCTTTCAATAGTAGAGGAATGTTTCTTTCCCTTTGTCAATATAAATTAAATAGAATTTCATAACGTTAACAGCATGTTTTTCACCATGAGTTGAGAATTTCCTTATGCTTTAAACTATTTGTATATCTTCTACTGTGAAATATTTGTGTCCTTTGGTAACTTCTGTTGGATTGTTGTTTTGCTTTCTGATATTATAATCCCCAGAGGGAATCTTGAAAGGAATAAAAAAAAACCCCATATGTTTGGATTTACATTTTTGCCTAAAAGTTTTATCGAAAGTTATATCAGAAACTAATGAGAATAGTTGATTTAGTGGAGAGGAAGAAGATGGTGGAAACTTTATACTATCTGCATTTTCACATAACATTTTTTTGAGACACACATTTTTTTTAAAGGTCAGATAGAGGAGGATCAGTCATAAAAAAGAACCAAGGCCTGGGTATGTGGCACAATAGTGGAGCACTTGCCTAGCATGTGTGAGGCACTGGGTTTGATTCTCAGCACCACAAATAAATAAAATAAAGGTACACTGACAAAAAAAAAAAAAAAAAAGAAAAAAAAAGAACCAAGATCCAGATGTTGTATACCTGTAGTCTTAGCTACCTACTGGGAGGCTGAGGAAGGTCTTGAACTTTTGGCTCAAGTGATCCTTGCTCTTTTTTATGCAAGTGGTAGCATAATTATCTTGCTTTGTACCTTGCTAGTTTTAAAACATTATTAGTACCATGTCTTCAGGCTGTTGTCATGTGAGCACATGAGAGATTCTTCATTGTTTTTATAGCTGCCTATACCAATGACTTCTAAAGGAACCTGCTAAGGACTTTCAAATCTTTATATAACTCAATTCCAAATACTTTTGAGTTCTAGAATCATATACCCCACAACCTATTTGTCATCCTTACCTTGATATCCTTTTGGATATACTTTAAATCCAGCATATTTGGTGAGGTACCTCACTGACCATTCAGTTGCACAAGCCAGAAATATGTTTCTTTTTTCCCCCTCTCAATCATATGGCAGGTTCTACTGATTTTTCCCTTCTAAATGTCTCTTGGTATCATTCACTTTTCTCATCCTTCCCCTATTGTGGTTCAACTTACCACTGTCACACGTCTGGCAGTCTCTCCCCATCTGTTATCCAAACATCCATCCTTGCTTTCCCCTAAACCACTCTCCATGTAGTAGGCTGAGCTAAGGTTTAAGATGCCAAAGAGAACATGACCAGTCCCATGCTCTCAACACCAAAAAGCTTCAAAGTATTTCCATTGCTCTTCTCAGGATAAACATCTAAACCTTATTCTGGCCCTTAAAGCTCTGCCTCAGAAATTCTCAAAATTCTTAGCCTCCAGAATCCTTTGTATTCTTTTTATCCCCCCACTTTCCATTTTGTTTTATTTTATTTCTCTTTCCACATTTTTTTATTGGTGCATTATAGTAGTACGTAATGACAGGATTTGTAGTCACATATTCACACATGCACACAATATAACAATATAATTTGGCCAATATCACTCCCCAGCTCTTCTCCCCTCCCTCCCTTGCACTTACCCAAGGTCACTTTCTTCTGCTGATCTCCCTGGATCTTTATGAGACATCTCCTGTCCCACCTTTCATTTCCTTTTCCCTCTCTGGTTTCCACAAATGAGAGAAAATAACACTCTTGACCTTCTGAGTCTGACTTATTTCACTAAACACAATGGTCTTAAGTTCTATTCTTTTTCCTACAAATGACATACTTTCATTTCATTTCTTTGTGGCTAAATAAAACTCCATTGTGTATATACACCACATTTTCTTTATCTAGTCATTCATCAACAGATACCTATGTTGGTTCCATAGTTTTACTATTGTGAATTATACTGCTATAAACACAGGTATGCATATATCACTATAGTATGATAATTTTAATTCTTTAAGATAAATACCAAGGAGTGATATAGCTGAGTCATGTGGTCGTTCCACACCTAGACTTTTGAGGAAACTCCATATTGATTTTCACAGTGGTTGTACTAATTTACAATCCCATCAGCAGTGTTAAAAAGTGCTTCTTTTTCTCCATATCCTCTCCAGCATTTATTGTTGTTTTCATTCTTGATGGCTGCCAATCTGACCGGTGTGAGATGAAATCTTAGTGTAGTTTTGATTTGCATTTCTCTAAATGCTAATGATGTTGAACATTTTTTTTTTAATGTTGGCCATTTGTATTTCTTTTTTTGAGAAGTGTCTGTTTCATTCATTTGCCTATTTATTAATTGAGTTATTAGGGGTTTTTTGGTGTTAAGTTTTTTGAGTTCTTTGTATTTCTAGATATTAATCCTCTCTCAGAAGAGTATCTAGCAAAGATTTTTCTCCCATTCTGTAGGTTCTCTGTTCACATTCCTAGTTGTTCCTTCTGCTGTGCAGAAACTTTTTAATTTGATATTGTCCCCATTTATTAACTCTTGTCATTATTTCCTGAGCTTTAGGGTCTTATCAAGAAAGTCACTGACTGTTTTATATTCTTAAGAATCACCGAGTAAATAGAGAGCCTACATCCTGGGAACAAATCTTTACTCCTCACACTTCAGATAGAGCCCTAATATCCAGAGTATACAAAGAACTCAAAAAATTAGACAATAAGAGAACAAACAACCCAATCAACAAATGGGCCAAGGACCTGAACAGACACTTCTCAGAGGAGGACATACAATCAATCAACAAGTACATGAAAAAATGCTCACCATCTCTAGCAGTCAGAGAAATGCAAATCAAAACCACCCTAAGATACCATCTCACTCCAGTTAGATTGGCAGCCATTATGAAGTCAAACAACAACAAGTGCTGGCGAGGATGTGGGGAAAAGGGTACACTTGTACATTGCTGGTGGGACTGCAAATTGGTGCAGCCAATTTGGAAAGCAGTATGGAGATTTCTTGGAAAGCTGGGAATGGAGCCACCATTTGACCCAGCTATTCCCCTTCTCGGTCTATTCCCTAAAGACCTAAAAAGAGCATGCTACAGGGACACTGCTACATCGATGTTCATAGCAGCACAATTCACAATAGCAAGACTGTGGAACCAACCTAGATGCCCTTCAATAGATGAATGGATAAAAAAAATGTGGCATTTATACACAATGGAGTATTACTCTGCATTAAAAAATGACAAAATCATAGAATTTACAGGGAAATGGATGGCATTAGAGCAGATTATGCTAAGTGAAGCTAGCCAATCCCTAAAAAACAAATGCCAAATGTCTTCTTTGATATAAGGAGAGTAACTAAGAACAGAGTAGGGTCGAAGAGCATGAGAAGAAGATTAACATTAAATAGGGATGAGAGGTGGGAGGGAAAGGGAGAGAGAAGGGAAATTGCATGGAAATGGAAGGAGACCCTCAGAGTTATACAAAAGTACATACAAGAGGAAGTGAGGGGAAAGGGAAAAATAATACAAGGGGGACAAATGAATGTCAGTAGAGGGGGCAGAGAGAGAAGAGGGGAGGGGAGGGGAGGGGAGGGGTGATAGTAGAGGATAGGAAAGGCAGCAGAACACAACAGACACTAGTATGGCAATATGTAAATCAATGGATGTGTAACTGATGTGATTCTGCAATCTGTACATGGGGTAAAAATGGGAGCTCATAACCCACTTGAATCAAAGTGTGAAATATGATATATCAAGAACTATGTAATGTTTTGAACAGCCAACAACAAAAAATTAAAAAAAAAAAAAAGAATCACCGAGGACCTCAAGGAGTTTTTATTTTTGTAGCTTGTATCTAAAAATATTTATCATATTAGAAATTAAAACTCAAAAATATTTATTAATTCATTTAAAATAGCAATATTATCTCATATTAACATAAAGGTTTTATTTTTATAGAAAATAAGCTTATTTTCTGAAGTAGAAAAAATTTAGTAATAAGAATGTTGTTTTTTCACATTTTTCAAAATCTCTTAAATGCTTGGCTCAATAGAAGACATCTAGATTTTTATAACTGCTTTTATGTTTAAGCTGCTGTGATATTATACATCATTCAGCCTCTGGAAAACTCCACTATACATTTATGAAAGGATGAAATTTAAAAAGGCAATTGATATCACAGTATTATTATGAAAATAGTTGTAACTTTTCGGCCCCTGTGAGTTCTTGAAAACCCTGAGGCAGTCCTAAGTGGCTCTCTGAGGACCACAGCCCCTCCTATACTTGTGACTGATGCACTTGTGTGTTTGCCTTGTCCTGATGGTTTGTATCTGCTCTTAATTCACTTCTGCCTCAATTCACCCAGCCTCTTCCTGGCTTCCTGCCTTCTAGCCCCACGAGTCTGTTCCCTGAAGCATGTTATTTTTTCTACCCACAGAACACTTGGACATGTCACCTGGATTTGTCCTTTCTTTTCACCCTCATGATTTGCCCTCATCCCCCTGACTAAACAACTCCTACTCATGTCTTAGCTTCAGCATGACTTCTTTTTTGCAGTCAAGATACTCCTTGATTCCCTTTGCCATGTATTCTCCAAAAGCACCTTATTTTTCCTTATTACTAATTGTAATTATATACTTATGTATGTGATGACTTGATTAAAATGTATTTCTCTCAATAGGTTATAAATTCCCTGATGCTAAGAACCATATCTCTGTTACGTTCCATTCTGTCTCATTTCTTAGCAACAGACCTGGCATTTAAAGGCTGCGCAATACATGTTTGTTAAGTGAATGCACAAATGAACAAGAGAATAAGCTAGTAGCAGAACATTCTTTAACTTTGTCCTATTCTGTTAACCATCCTTTTTTAAAATATTGTTTTAGTTGTAGATGGACACTGTATCTTTATTCTATTTTTTTTATTTATTTGGTGCCAAGTATCAAAACCAATGCCTCACACATGCAAAGCAAGTGCTCAATCCCTGAGCTAAACCCCGAGCCTCCTGTTAACTATTCTTAAGCTGTATTTATCAGATTTGTAAATAATTTGAAACTTGGAGATTTAGGTACAAAATCATGATTAGAAAAGGAACCTGGTAAGCGATTGGGAACTTTAAACCCTCAGAATCAGGTGGAGGTCTTTCACACAACAATTAACAATATAATTAACAATATAGTTAACAATCCTTAATTCAATATAATTATATAATATTTTTCTTTTTTCTCTTTTTGTTGATTCACTCTCAATGTCCCATACATTTCATACACTAGAACAACAAATACTACAAGGAAATAGCAGGAACCACTCCGCTCTTTATGAAGTTGTAGATAAGGAACTCTGATATGGAGTTCCAAAAGCCCCAAAGCAGAAATAATGCTTAGCAACAGACCTGGCATTTAAAGGCTGCTCAATACACGTTTGTATTTACCCACTTAAGGAACTGTATATATATTTATAGTTTTGAAAAACTCTTCTGGTTGAAGAAAAGCATGTTGGGAAATTCCTTTCTGCTAAAGAACACATACTTCTTATTGCTGAAGATTCTTTTCAGATGACTCCTTAGCTGCTCAGTCTTTTATAGTCCTTTATATTCAGCTGGCAATAAGACAGCACTCCCTTTTTGCAGAGGTTAGCACCTTTCTGTGTAATACCTGGGTCCTGTACTCAAACAAATAATCCTTTTTCTGTTTTCCCTTCCTTTGCAGCAATCTGTAAAACTCCACCATCTAGTTGAATCACATAATAGCATTACAGTCTCTGTGTGTGGGAAAAATGGTAAGTTTCATTATTTTAGATCTATGTGGTATCCATGTAGAAACAGAAAAATACTTGAATTTGTGTTTCTGGTTGTTCCTATTACTCCCATATTCGTATGCATCTTTCTTGTATATTTGCTTATAGGGAGGAGGAACTTGAGGTCTTTTCGCCTTAGGAAAATAATCCTTGCTGATGGAAATAGAATTAACAAACTCAAAAACTGAACATCTTTATAGTGGACATTTGACAAATGTTGACATATGTATACACTGTGAAACCATGACCAACACGAGGATAATAACCCCTTCCCATAATCAGGCACTTTTCTGCTTTCTGTAATTATAGATTAACTTCCACTTAGGAAGTTAATATACAACATATGGTGTTGTATGACATGCAGTTTTACCTTTTATAATACATTTTGGACTACTTTGGGGGGATTAATGTTCATAATTGTTTTGAGATTCATCTATTTATTAAGTGTATCAATAGTTCATTTCATTCTTGAGTGTATCCCAGTGTAAAGATATGGCAATTTATCCATCCGTATATCTGCTAGTGGACATTTAGGTTGTTGGTAGTTGGGGCAATTACAAATGATGCTACTATGAACATTTGAGTATAGATCTTTGTATGGGCACCCATATTTATTTTTTTGTGGGAAAATACCTACCCATGTAATGTCTAGATATGTGGTAAATAGATATTTAACATTTAAGAAGTTGTTAAATTGTTTTCCAAAATGGTTGTGCCATTTGATGTTCTCACCAGTTCTGAATGGGAGTTTCAGTTACTCCACATTGTTGTCAAAACTTGATATGATCAGTTTTTAAAATCTTAGCCACTTTCATGTGTGGAAGTACCTCATTGTTGTTTAGTTTGAATTTCCTTACTGACTAATGACCTGGGACATCTTTTCAATTGTTTATTTGACACTTGTATCTTTTTTGGTCAAGCATCTGTTCAAATATTTTATTATATATCAGACATATGATTCACAAATATTTTCTCTAAATCTATGACATCTTTTTATTCTCCTCACAGTATCTCTCATAGGGCAGATGTTTTAATTTTTAATTGTCTACTTCATCAAATTTTTTTCTTTTGTGGATCCTACTCTTGATATCTTATCTAAGACATCTTTGCCTAATTCAGGGTCACCAATATTTTCCGTATTATCTTCTAGAGTTTTATAGGTTTAGGTTTTCCATTAATTATAAAATTTGTTTTTGTTTTGGATTAAAGTTTTTGTTTTTGTTTTTTTGCAAGCGGTAGCTCCATACTTCATGCCATGTATTGAAAAGAGTATCTTTCTCTAGTAAATTACCTTTGCACACTTGTCACTAATCAGTTGTCCATGTATGGGAGGGTCTATTTCTGGATATATATCCTAGCTTTTGTATCTGTTTACTTGTCTGTATACCAGTGCCACATATGTCCTTTATAATAAATTTTGAAATAGGGTGATATTTCACGTCTAGTTTGGTTGGTTTTTTTTAAGAGTTATTTTGATGTTTTGGACCCATATCCTTTTCATATAACTTCTATAGTCAACATGTTAATTTCTTTAAAATAAATGAGATTTTGATTAGAATTGTGTCTATTCCACAGATCAATTTGTCTAAAGCTATTGATTAACAAAATTGGATCTTTTGCCTTCTAAATGTGATATATTTCTCCTTTTATTTAGGTCTTTGGTTACACTCAGCAGTGTTTTGCAGTTTTCAGTATACACTTTATTTCTCAGATTTATTCTTAAGTAGCTCATATTTTTATGTTATTGTGAATGTTAATGTAAATATTTAATTGTTCATTGTCTAGCCATTCCCTCATATGCACCTGTTGGTCAGAAGGGGTTATTATCTTCATATTTACATACTGAAGAAGGAGCCTCTGCAGGTTTTTGCAGCTTTCCTAGGGTAGTGCTCTCTCCGATGTAGAAGACCCTGCAAATTTCTTCATCTCCATAGAAACTCCTCTGTGCTCCTACCTCAGGGAGTCCTCTGAACTGTGAGCTCCCCTTCCCTGCAAAGGGAACTGTAAACTCTTTAATAACAGTAAACTAGGCAAATGCAGACCACCTTCATTCGTTTTCCAACTTTGTTGTTTGATGTTCACTGCTCCCAAACCGTTGTTTCATATATTTTGTATGGTTTTTGGTTGTTTCCAATGGGAAGATAAATCTTATTATTTTTATTGCATCCTGCTTGGAAATGAATTTTCACATTTAAAAAATATTCTGATCATTTTTTTGTTCTAACTTATAATGATAAAATACTTTGAGCATATACAAGAGTAAGAGAATATAACCATGAAGCCCCCGTACCTATCACCTAGATTAAATAATTACCAACTTGTTGAATCTTTTTTTAAAGCTGTATTACTAATTCTTTTACCCTAGATTATTCTGTAACTATTTCAAATATCATTTCATTTGAAACAGCATGTAGCTTTTGTATATAAAGACCTCTTTTTAATTCCCTTATTATTTAAAAACCCCTTCAATGTTCAAATCTGTCAGTTATATAGTCAGTTATATAGTTCAGATTTCTTCAACTGAATCAGTGTGTATCTATACATTAATGGTAGAATTTCTAACTATATTATATATTATTTTGTGTACATATAAGATAATTGTAAATATGTAAAAATATATATGTTTTAATATAAAAATATTATATATACATTTTCCAAATCAGGATTTCCATATCCTGCAATTGATTATGTCTTAAGTGTATTTCAATCCACAGGTTCCCTCCTCCATATCTTATTTTTGCCTTGCAAATTTTTTGTTGAAGAAAATAAGTGATTATATATTACTTGTTAGACCTAGAGGCTTTGATTATTGGCAAGAATAGTCTACGATTGGCATTGTATACTGAAAGCACATAACATCTAATTGTCATATTTTCGTAGTGTGAGCAGACATAAATGCTCATGTCTTAGGTTTATTATTTCATTAGGAGCTGCAATATATTAGGTGGAATTTTTCTGTTCTGTAAGAAAAACCACTCCCCTTAAGTATTTCAACACCCTGAGATTCAGTTTAAGCTTTCAAAATAATGGGCTGATCATCTAACATCTCCCAAAGGCTTTTAATTTTTCAGTACTATAATGTTAGACCTGGTTAGTACATTTCCATCCATTACAGTTCTTGTTCCTGTTCGCTCAAATTATTCCATTTTTAGCCGTTGAGAACCTCTTCAGATTGGCTCCTGAGTTCTTTTGACATGACCTCAATAGTCATTGAGACTTCTGTTAAACTCATTTGGACAATTTGTGACCAAACCTTGACAGGTTCACTTTTCCTGGAAGTCTGTAGATATGGTGCTTAGAGACTCAATCAGTGTTAGGAGTGTTCATTTTATGGGGTGAGTCACTGTTGGTGGACCTTTTCAGAAGACATTTTTAGTAAGTGATTTTTTAAAAATAAAATGCAAGTTAAATAAAATATGAGTTCATGCTGACATTTCCAATTCTAGTTTAGAACTATAGAATTTTTAAAAAAATTTTTTATTGATTGCACTCATGTTTCCCTTTCTTCTATATTAAAAGTGTTTATTCTCAGTGACGGGAACAAATTGGTCATTTGCTTTATCCTATTATATACAATAATCTTAGAAAAACAAACCAAAACACTCAACATCAATATGGTTCCTAAAACAACTTAAGATACTTAGAGATTCTTTCTCACTGCTTTTGTGATATTTCATTAGAAATATACAAATTATATAAAAATATGGTTTAAATCACTCAAAATAGTTCTTGGTTTGTGCATTTAGGCTAACAACTTGATAGAATCATTTAAAAAATATTTTTAGTTGTAGATGGACGCAATATCTTTATTTTATTTATTTATTTTTATGTGGTGCTGAGGATCAAACCCGGTAACTCACTTATGCTATGCAAGCATTCTACCACTGAGCCAAAACCACAGCCCCGAAAGGATCATTTTGCTCATTTTACTTTAGTGTTAACTTTTCAAATTTATTTTTGTATTATCATGTATAAATAATATGCAAAAATATCCTCAGGGTTTGAAAGTCAAATCCATAAGAAAGATGATATTCAAGGGAGTCTAGCTTCTTCCCCTATTCTCTCTGCCTTGGGTCTTAATTCTCTATAATAATTGATAAATAATTTGATAAATTATTATTCTCTGTAATAATTGATATGATAAATACCATATTTCTGTTTGTTTTCTACTTATTCTTATATCTAAAAATAGCCAAATTGCATATGAAAATACTAGTTGATATAATACATACAAAACAAGATATATAAATTTATATTGCCAATATTTTAGGTAAACAAAGGAAGACAAAACATACTGAACCATTTTTCTTGCTGGTACTTTACATGCTTAACTGTTCCCAGGTCTTTTAATAGCAATGTATGTAGGTATTCTTCATTTGTTATTTTAGTATCGTACTCTGTTGTGTGGAGGAACTATGATAATTCAGTTGGTGCTGTGTTGAAGAACTTGTAGCCTTTTACTATTATAAATGTTGCTGAAATAAAAATACTTCTGCATATATTGTTTTATATTTTTTTTTTACTATATCTTTGGTATAGATTTTAAGAAGTAAAAAAAAAAATTGATACATTAAAGAACAAATGCATGTGTAATTTGGCTAGACCTATATTGCCAGATTGCATTTACACCAGAAATGTGTGAGTGCCTGTTTCCTCAGAGCCTTGCCAACAGAACATCCTGGAAAGTTTCTATATTTTTCTACTCGAGTAGATGAGCAGTGTTATCTTTTGTATATTTTCTCTACTTTTTAAAGAAATAATTTAAAACTTACAGCAAAGTTTCAAGAACAGTTCAAATAACTTTTTTTTTCCAGACAGTTTAAGAATAAATTGCTGATATGTGATGACTAGGATGCTAACATTGGTTAGTGTATTGTTCTTAAAGACAAGGACATTCTTCTATGTAAACAACAGTACAAACAAGAAGCTAATATTGACCCATTACTTCCAACTAACCGTCAAATCCTATTCATGTTTTGCCAGCTCTTGGACAGGGATCCAAGGTCGCTGAATGCCTTTTTTTTTTTTTATGTCTTTCTAAGATATTTCAATCTTGGCTTTTATGACCTTGATGCTTTGAATTCTGATAATTTTGTAGAATGGACTTGTCTGATGTTTCTTCTTAGTTAAATTCAGGTTATACACTTTTGTCTGGCAAATCACAGACACTAAATTGTGTTTTCACTGCTTCCTCTAAGGTGGTACGTAATTTCAATTTGTTCTATTGCTGATGATGTTAACTTGGATTACTTAATTAAATGGTGTCTGCCAGGTTTCTTCTTTGTAAATATGCTCCTTTCCCCTTTGTAATTAATGGTTATTTTGTTGAGAGATATTTTGAGACTTCATAAATAGACCATCTTCATCAAATTTTCACCCACTAGTTTTAGTATCCATTGATGTTTCTTGACTAAATTAATTACTTTGATACTTGCCAAATAGCGATTTTCTAATTTTATCTTCCCTTCCTAATTATTTAATTGCCATTTTGCTGCAAGGAAAAACTATCTTTTTCTCATTTATTTATCCATTTACTCGTGTCATTATGGACTTACAAATCCCTATTTTATTTGACGGCTATAGTTCTTTATTTTCATTATTCGCTTGGATGTTAAAATTGTTACAGATTTAGGCAAAAGGGCTCTTTAAATTGCCTTTTTAATAATGCATCTCGGTCATTCTTTGACTATTCCCTACTTAATGGAACAGAAAGATGTTCTAGATTATATTATACTTTTTTGGCCCACCCTTGTAATCACACCTCTCTCTAAGGAACCTTCATTCTTTTCACAGGGAATTTTAGAAGACAAAACTTGCACATTAGGTGTGCTCTTAATATTGGGGTTTCACTGTACTTAGACGCTCTCAGAGGAAAGAACTGAACTAGAGAATATATGTATAAATGAGTAGATCAGCAAACACACTGTATAAGATAGGTAGATGGATAGATAGGTGTTTGCATATATTTATATATCCTTGCTCGTTTACCCTTATATTATTTTTGTATTCCACTGATGTATACAATTCTTTTGTTGTTGTTGTTGTTGTTCTTTTTAGTTATACATGACAATAGAATGTATTTTGACATACATACATGGAGCATAATTCCCCTTGTGGTTGAACATGATGTGGAGTTACACTGGTCGTGTATTGATACAGGAACATGGGAAAGTTATGACATCTCCAATTCTAAGCCACAGGGTTCAGTGCAGTTTTCTCTCTTTCTATATTTGTAGTTTCCTTCCTCAAGTGAGGAAGCGCGTGCTCATTAACCTCAGCAGGTCTACTCATTTTATCAATCCTGCCTGATTGTGACAAATCTCCCGTCATTGATGATGTTCACATTGCCCCTCCCCTGACTCCTATGGGGACATGTTTCCATCCTGATGACTCCAACATCCCACAGGAGGACCCTGCTAGGCTCTGCTTTGTCAGAGTCAAGGCTCCAACACCCCATAGTGGCTGCTGCCCCACCCCATCCAAACCACTGCATGGATGCTTATTTTTCTTACCTCCATAATGACTTTGGGATTGAATTAGGAAAGAAAGAAGTAAAAAAGATACTCAGTCAGGCAATCAGGAAAGAAGAAGAAATATTCACTTCTCTCATTATGACTAAAATTGAGCACCTTTTTAGACATTTAATACACCATTTGTGTTGTGTTTTATGTGTGTTTGAGAGATCTATTAATATCTAGCAATTTGTTACACACTTAATTCCTACACATCTATTTTGGCAGGGATACTAGAGATTGAACTCAGGGGCACCCGGCCACTGAGCCACATCCCCAGCCCTATTTTATATTTTATTTAGAGATAAGGTTTCACTGAGTTGCTTAGTGAACCCCCTTTTGCTGAGGCTGGCTTTGAACTTGCAATCCTCTTGCCTCAGCCTCCCAAGCCTCTGGTACACATGTCTTTTTAGAGACATAGTCTCGCTAAGTTGCTTCAGGCCTTGCTAAATTGCTGAGGCTGGCTTGGAACTCATGATCCTCTTGCCTCAGCCTCTGAGCCGCTGGTGTTATAGGCATGTGCCACTGCACCCAGCAAAATATTAATCTGAATCCATCATTTCTTTATCTTGGCTTATTTATGTATTTTTGCCACACGAAGGTTTTGATTTTATGTAGTTTATAAATTTTGGCTTTTGTTTTCAGATTTTAAATCCAGGTTGAAGAATAGCCTCCATTTTAAAATGCCTTGACTGCTTTTCCATTGATCTCCAACTTAAGAGATGCGGGTTGTGTTTTTGTGGGAGAATAATCTGACTCGACTCTATCTCCTCACACTTTCAGCTGGAGTCCAAGAGCTGGAATCACGCTTCCTGGTGCCTGGAGATTTATTAATTTTGACAGGGAACAAGGTGCAAATGCCATGTGATGCCATTCTGATTGATGGCAGCTGTGTGGTAGATGAAGGCATGCTGACAGGTACAGTTGCATCTGCGCAGCCCTAGCCTCTGTGGGCTGTCCCAGGCTCTGCGCTACCATGGTCCCTCCTCTTCCTGTAGCTGAATAGCAATGACTCTCTGCTAAGCGCAGGCTGCTGTGCTGCTTCCTAGTTCCACATGCCATGCTGAGTCCTGTTGAGGATGGATCTGGGAGTTCAAATTAAAGGAGCTCTCTATGTGCTAAGTGCAATCATTACTTTATGCGTGTTATACATTTCCTTCTGGAATAAGGATTTTTACAATCCTCTCATTTTACCTTAGAAGATCGTCGGGATCATTAGATCTTTCAGAATTGTCTGACTTTTAAGTTTAGTAGTTTTATGTGACATATGTCTTGAAACGAACATGGAGGGTCTGAAAACCATCACTGACATCTTAAAACCCACAGGGTCAAATCTGGCCTTGACTGAAATGTTAAGAAAAGCTCATGAAGGGGCATTCAGCAAATGTACTACTTCCAAAATACACACAGAGTATTTTGGACTGACTGCATTTCATTTTTAAATAGCATGCTAAACAGGGAGGAAACTTAGAGGTCCTTTCACTTCACAGACAAAACAACTGAGGTCCAGAGAGAAGTAACTTGCTCCAGTGGGCACTGCTTTGATTTCTCACCGTGTAACATAATAATGACATGTTGTGCTAACATTTCTGTAAGATAAAAAAGAACCATAAAGTCTTTCTCAGAGATGAAATAGGGGTCAGGGAAAGCTCATGACATATTGTAGTTCCTATTAAAGGTCATATCAAATCCATTGCTCCCACGGAGGACAGAAAGGCATGAAATGGCAACAAGAACACATCCCCCCCTCCTTTGTGAACTTACACAAATAAAGGATCTGCCAGATCATGGCAGGTCAGGGTTTGTTTGTTTTTTTCCCCTCAAGAATCTATAATTCATTAAAAAATCCATAAGTGCAGGGACTTTTGCAGTGCCAGGTACTATTTTCCTATGAAAGCCATCCTTGCATATGAGAACGCAACTCTGACTTGATTCTGCTCACTCTGCTAAGACCAGCAGAAGACGTTCGGAGCTCATTCCTCGGAATAGTCACAGTTGCTGTCACATCTTCATTCCTCATCTCAGCCCACTGTAGTCGGCTCCTCCCACCACATTGGTACTCCTTGACAATATCTCATTGACAAATCCAACAGATTCTTTTAAGTTTCCCCTCTTACTGACCTCTCCAATGAAGTTGACTCTTTTGACCATCTCTGCTTCTAAAAACTCTCTTCTCCCCAACTTTTGAAGGCACTGCTCTCTCTCCAGATTCTTCTACCACCAACCGCACCTGCTCAGCTGCTTCTCTTCCTCTGTCTCAAGTGTTAGTGTTGCTCAGAAGTGAGTCCTGGTCCTTCCTCTTCTCACTCTACGCTTGACTCTTAAGTAATCTTGTTTCATTTTGTGCTTTCATTTTTATGCCTTGAGCTCTGACTAAATACCTCTAGACAAGACCTCCCATCAGAACTTCAGATCCAAATAAATATCTAACTGCACACACGGCATCTCAACAGGGTTATTTTCTACAGGTAGTTCCAACTCATGGTGGACCAAAGGCAATTCTTCCTCTTCTTCTGCAATCCCTACTTTGATGAATAATGCTGCCCTCTGCTCATCTCCAAAGTCAGGAATTAGGAAGCTGTTTTAAAGTCCTCTGTCCCTGTGGCCTGCCTATGTAAAAATTCCCTCAGTGTTTGTAGCTTCTTACTTCCTGACTTCTTGAACCCAGTTCTACCTTTCTATTCCCACTGCCAACTGCCATGGTTCAGAACTCATCCGCTGCCCCCGGCACTCCTGTGATTATTTCCTAGCTGGATGTCCAGCCCCCAACTGCACCAGACTTCAACTCCTCCCCCATACTGTGGGCTCCTACAGAAAACAAGAGTATGCTCTCTTAGGGTACTACTCTCCGAAGTTCACCATCTCTCCATCCTCCTTCACCCACCAGTGCCTCCAGAAAAATGTTTGGGCACTTAACTATGTTATCTTTGGGATCCTGTTTAGCTCCTACGTGGCCTTCATGGCCTTTTTATCCCGGTACTCTGCACTCTAGATTGCACAGCGTGCTTTTCCCTAATCAGGTATTTCTAGACTATTATACCATCCATGTTTGATTGGCAATACCAATAATATTTATGTTAGGACACAATGCTTATTTATTTACATGTCTGTCTCCCACTCTAAACTAGAGATCTCTTACTTAATAAGTACTACGTTTTTCTCATGTCTCCAATACCTGGGGTTGTGTCTGCCACAGGTTGGCTCACAGCAAGTGTGTGGGGGGTGATAAGTGACTGAAGGTATGATTTACGTGGGTGAAGATGTCCCACCTCACTATGAGACGCTTGTTTTCTGTAGGAGAAAGTATCCCGGTCACCAAAACTCCATTGCTCAAGACAGACAGCTTGGTGCCCTGGAAATTGCAAAGTGAAGCAGATTACAAACGGCACATCCTCTTCTGTGGAACAGAGGTCATCCAGGCCAAAGCAGTGTGCTCGACTTCAGGGACTGTGAGAGCAGTGGTGCTGCAGACTGGTTAGCATCCCTACTCCATGTTTTTTCCCCCAGGACTGGGGATTGAACCCAGGGGTGCTGTTACCATTGAGTCATACATCCCCGACCTTTTTGATTTTGAGACAAGGTCTTACTAATTGGCTGAGGCAGCCTTGAACTTGAGATTCTCTTGCCTCAGCCTCTCAAATTGCTGGTGTTACCAGTGCACGCCATTGAGCCTGGCTTGTGTTGTTACTTTTAATGAAATATTTCTATTCAGTTTATCTAATGCCTTAAATTTGCGAGGTGAGGATCAATTTTTAGATAACACACCCAGTATATGTAAATCTATGTATTTTAAATGCCAATTTGCTAATTTAACTATGGCATTTGCATTTTAGTAATAACAATAATACTGATGACAGTAATCACTATGTGCTTTGCAGTTTATAAACTATTTTCACACCTCAAAGCAGCAGAGTAGCTGCTCCCCCCCCCCCCCCGCCCCGCACCACCACACTTTGTGCATGAACATTCTGAGTCTACACAATTCAAGTGAGCTTTGAAAAAATAACACAGCCAGAAACTGACAGAGCTGGTCTTGAAATTCAGGTCTTCTAACCAAAATCTCAAGTTTATGTAAGGTTAAAAACTGAAAGCTTAACACTGAAAATTATTAGAAAAGGGAGTTCATCAGTATTTATTGGACCATTTAATTTTAATTCAAGTGAAGGGTGTGTATATATGCATGTGTGTGTGTGAGTGTACATTTATACACACACACACTCATGAGGCATTCTTTTTAATAAAATTGTATTTTGAAAAACTGTGCTCTCTCCCCCCCCCCCCCCCCAGTATGTGGCTTCTTGGGTTTGGAATGCATTGACATTGGAAATAGAGGGAAGGAAGGCCAGAGAGAGAATGGGCTCTGAGACAAGTAACATATTTCCATTCTAGCAATTATGTGTTTCCCCAATTACCATTCCACTACCATTGGATTTAAGCACTATCTAAATGTCTCTAGAGGAAAAATAAAGGCCATGTTGAGGTTTGGAAGAGCATCAGCAGTTGGATGTGTCCTCCCCAAAAAAGTGAGATGTGTGTTTGCCATTTCAGGATTCAACACTGCAAAGGGGGACCTCGTGAGATCCATTCTTTACCCCAAGCCAATGAATTTTAAGCTCTACAGGGATGCCATCAGATTTCTACTGTGCCTTGTAGGGACGGCCACTATTGGCATGATCTATACTCTGTGTGTCTATGTGCTCAGTGGGGTAAGCTCTTTGCTCTTTTGTTAGAAATACACACTCACTCTTTTCTGTGTGTTTTATGTTCTACATGTTGACCTTATTCAAGGTTGTAGTTTACAAGCCTGGGAAACAAAGCCACACTCTGAAACATGCTTACAGGCCCCCAGTTCCCCAGTGGAAACAATTGATCACTAAGTTCCATGATAATTGTTGGGTCCTGTGGGATTGTGTGATAAAACAATTTACTTATTGAAACACCAACATGCTTCTACTCTTGCATGCTTTTCCTTCTTTTCTTTACACCATTTTTTTTTTCATTTTCAACATATTCATTTCAATAAAGTAGTAGTTTGTAGCTATTAAATGAGGGATTTTCAATAAAATCAGCTTCCCAGTGTTGGTGAGGTCATAGTAAACTGGCGCATTGCTGTTAGCAGCATGAATCATTATGAGCTTTTTCATTGCACTTTGGAAAAAGATATTGAGAACCATAAACATGGTCATGTCCTTTGACCAACTGATACCATTTCTCAGAATTCCACCTAAAGAAGTAAAAATAATAAACAAGGGCAAAAGTCATTTGCACCAAGTTGTTCATTGCTGAATTGTCCATAGTAGCTAAAAAATGGCTATCTATCTTCCAGGAGTCTCCTGAGGAGGTGGTCAAGAAAGCCCTTGACGTGGTCACCATCGCAGTCCCTCCTGCCTTGCCTGCTGCCCTGACCACGGGCATTATCTATGCCCAGAGGAGGCTGAAGAAGAGAGGTATCTTCTGCATTAGCCCGCAGAGGATCAATGTGTGTGGACAGTTGAACCTTGTCTGCTTTGACAAGGTATGTGCCCCCTCCTCTCCCTTATCACTGTTTTTATCTTCATGGTCATCAAGGAGAGGGGCTTCTATTCTTTTCTGAGGCAGGAAACACAGGCTATGGGTACCTGACTTCATTTTACCTCTGGATGGGTATGTGACCTGGAAAAGGTCACATACGTCTCTTGGAGCTTTCAGAATCTGGCGTTTAGGAAGAGGGGAGTCGGTACTGAACAGATGAGTCTTTTGGGTCCTTACAGCTTCATTATTTTATGAAAAAAAAAATGAACTAAAATAGGATTATTTCCCTTGGGGTCAAAATCTTCATATAAAAATCCAAAATTTAAGCCGTTTGCTGTGACTACTGCTTTATCTCTAATGCTTAGAACATTGCCCAGCAATATAGTCAATGTTCAATAAATATTTATTCAATTAATGAATGAATAAAAAAGAAAGAGCTTATTTAAATATGTTTTACTATAATGCTTGATTACCATAAAGCCCTATGGCAAACCCTAATTTTGTGCTCTTCCCTGTAGTTTATTGCTTAAAATTTTTCTTGGTTATTTGCCAGTTATTTCCAATCAGCCTCTTATCCCACCTCCTCTTGAGGGCTTAGTTTATTTGCACAGTTTATACACACATAAGCTGGGGAGGGGGAGATGGATTGAAGACAAGATGGAAATGAAGGGTATCATAAACCCATGAATATGGGCCAAGGCATGGCAGTAGGACTGCAAGAGGGTATGACAGGACAAAGTTACTGGAAGAGACTGTGGACCACATACCTAAGGCATTTTTACATGGTCTTTTGCAGCATGGAGCCATTGAAGGCCTTCCTTACTGCCATTGACGTCTTTCCTTTTAATTTATTTCTTTTATTGTGCTATAAGAAACAGAATATAAATGGTTATCACATTAACCATTATGAGTGTATAATCCACTGGCATCAAGCATACTGTTCTGAAACCATCATCATCATCCATCTTGAGAAATTTTTTCCTCTTCCCAACCTCAAACTCTGCAACCACTAAACACTGAAGAATTAATGGGATTGGAGCTGTATTTTACAGTTAGTGGAATCACCAAGATATATCCAAATGAAAGGTTGACATGGCTTCTGCCACCATTCAATATCATTTGGTGGATCAAACTAACATTGTGAGGTGAAACATTCTTTTAAGAGGTCACATCAGTGGACTTGGAAAAAGACACAGGAGTAGGAGAGATAATGGTGACCTGGATTTGAATAAAAAGGGCAATAATTGTAAGTCATTGTCATCCTTATTAGCTCTACCTACAGTGCTATGTATTAAATTAAGTACTTCATATAATCTCATTTAATCTTTATAAGGCTTTGTGCTGCTGATCATGTTACCGATAAGAGCTCTGATATTTAGAGCTATTAAGTAGTATTCCCTGTCCTGTAGATGGAATTTGGACTTAGTCTGAATTCTTAGACATTATACTGTACTGAGAAAAATAGCAACACAAACTTTTTTACCTACTAGGTGTCAAACAGCAAACCATTTCTTCAGAGTAATTTTACAAACATTGCCCTGTAGGTAAAAAATTCTACTTCATCACTTATTTCTGGTGACATACTTTTAACTTCTACTATAAAAGCTGAGACTCATCTTAGAGCTCTTACAGTCTTCCCAAGGACTTGCCCTCCATTCAGTCTACCATTAGATCTTCGAAATAGCCCTCTGAGGGATGTAACGGACATACAGTTTTCTTCCTTTTACCATGGAGGATACAAAAGTTCACAGGGATCAAGTGCCAGTTTGTCACAACTTGAGTCCACCGAAGCTTTTGCCCAAGACTCCAGATACTCACTTTATCATGGCACTCTGCAATAATGTGCTTGAGGCATGTATTTCTCCATTAAAGAAAACCTGACCTGCCTTCACTGGGGGCCGGCGGGATCTCAGAGTAATCCGAGTATTCGTTTCTGTTTAGACAGGCACCTTAACAAGGGATGGCTTGGATCTCTGGGGAGTGGTACCCTGTGATAGGAATGGGTGAGTACCTTCAACTAGTGCATTACAATTTCTCTTTTTCCAGAATTGCATGTTTACTCTTGAAACTCCTAATGGAGGCGTTTGGGTTGCGGCTTTGGTCAACAGTGGTTGCCATCTATTCATTTAATTCCTCCTCTTGGGTTCTTTCAGGCCTTCCTAAAACATGAATATTTTCCCTACTTCCTCCCCAAGACCATGCCGTCACAAACTCTGGAGAGAAAACGGAGGTCTGGATATCACATGCAAATCCTTGCTGAAATATAGTTGTTTTCACCATATTTGTTAGAGGCCTGACCTTAGTTGGCCAGTATAAGTAATCTGGATGGTACCAGGACACTGTCCTGCAAGGAAGTGGCATTCCTTGTACAAACTTCAGCCTTTTAATGTGCTGGGTGGGAGGAGCACACACACTGACTTTTGTACCCTGAATTTCAGGAAGAGGAGCATCTGTGGGTCCCTACCTGGTACCTATTTTTCTTAGTATTGTGATTCCAGGAACTCTTCCTTCTGGGTTCTAGAAACTCCTAAGTCCTTTCTCCACTTTTTGTTTTTTCAAGGAAAGACTCCTTTTGGCAGTTTTGGACTTTGTGTATGAAAGATCTGCACAACCCTCTCCTTCAGTCCTCTTATGACCTCTATGAGTTTTCCTTTCTGCCTGCCATTTCAACCCAGGAGACATGAAATGCATTTGACATTTATGAAAGTGGAAGCATTTTTCCTCTAACATAATCTAAATCATAAAGCATTTTATACATAAATAGTAGGTTGTGGTTCTTTTGTATGTTATCCATGAAATATTTTAAATTACGTGTGGTTAATACATCATCATATTTAAATACCATTTGTAGACAAGTCTGTTTTCTCACTTAAAAAATTATTCTGGTGCTTCTCACCACTTTAGTCTACAGAAGAAACCTTTACTGGTGTTAAACTTTCTAAAGAACTTTTCATTTTATCTAGAGGATGCATTTGAATATATACTGGGGTTCCTTATTCAAAGTGTTTTTCTCTCTGTTTCTACAAAAATGTATACATTTATTCAAATATGTGCACATCTTGAGAGCAATCTATTTCTCATTTATATTTGTATCCCCAATGTCGCAGCAGTGAATCAAATGCGCATAGTAGGTGAATAGGAAATGTTTATTCAAAGGAACCAAACATTTTCTGTTTTTTGAATGTCGTATTTGTGAATTGACATCATTTTATTTCCCAAACTTAAGAAAATCTCAATTTCTAAAAGTAACCTACTACATTTAAATAAAAATAATTGATATAAAGTTTAAAGCTACCACTTGATCAATTAAACCTGCCTCCCTCATTCCCTCCCTTCATTCTTTCCTCCCTGCCAAAAGGTCAGATTTGGCTACAAATGAGAAAAACAGCAATCTAAAATAAAAAATAAAAAATGACAACTTTAGTTAATGAAATTTAGTTAAGAAAAAGTTTTTTTAAAATTTGAAGTGGTGATTTCATTATTTTAAAGTAGGTTTTCCTTTAAAAGTTCCATATAATGCAAACAGAAAACACGGTTATCAGAAAAAAGACCCTCCCCCGCAAAATCACAGAAATCACCTACATCGTCTATTCTCCCTATGCATTTTCTTTTTTAATTTTTAATTAATTTTTAAAATTTATATATGACAGTGGAATACATTACCATTCATATTACACATATAGAGCACAATTTTTCAAATCTCTGGTTGTATACAAAATATATTCACACCAATTTGTGTTTTCATAAAAGGAAAGAGATTGAAATTTTAGGTAAGAAGTCAGTCACTGACTCATAGGTTATCAGACATCTTCTTGTTAAAGATCAGTTCATCTCTGTTCAATCTCATCTTTTCCAAAAAGGGTGGGACCCATGTGCCAGATACATCAAGTCATTGAAGGCTACCTGGGCTTGATAAATTATCAATACTCAAATAAAAATATCAGAACAGGAATAATAGAGAGTTCTACGTAATTGGTGTGCTAACCAGAGCCTAGTCTGATTGCTGGCACTCAGAATTTTATCCTCAGAATTACAGATTGATAATGAGAGTATGTGCCACTATAAAACCAAGATCTTCTTTTTCAGATCTGTACTTTACTTTTCAGTGTGAGCTTAAGCTTCTGTGTCAACAATATTGCTCGTGATGTCTTCCTTTTTGATATTTACTAAAATACCATGGGGCATGTTGTAAACCACTGAGATAACTTGTTCTTTCGACACATATTAATGGGTTGGACCCAAAGAGTCAATAATAAGCCAAGAAGTATTTGAACTTTGGTGTGACAAAGGAAGCAGGAAATTCAGTGTCCCTATTATTCAAAATAATAGGCTTATTCTAGAGCCCACATTTTAAGATGAACTACAACAAATAAAACCTTTCTAAGAAGGAAGCTCTATAAAGGTGAGAGGTCTGGGAAAACTGGCATTGGAGGAAGAGCTAGAGGTTTCTCTGTAACTCTAGAGGAAGGCTGGATTGGGGGAAGGGATAGCAGAACTGATCCACAAATCTGAAAGAAGTTGTCATGGGGAGGAGGGACAGCAAGTAAATTCCGACTGGCTCCAAGAAGCAGATTTTGCCTCTATGTAGGAAAAAACTCCTGCCCTTCAAATACCCTGTGGATCTGAAATACTGCTTTGCAAACCAATTATCCTGCTGCACATGAAAGCAGAGGCTGATCAACAAGGTTGCAGAGGATACCCTCCTTGAGGGCCTAAGACTGAATCCAATCTCACATGCTGAATTAGTGAAAGAATTCTGCACATGGCATTTGAGTTGTATTTCCATAGATTTCACATGAGGCCCCTTTCCATAGGAAATCCTGTGGAGAATGAAGGTAATAGGAACATTAAATACCAGTGTTGAAGAGAATGCCGGGATCCTTTTCAAAAATGTTTTTAGGGTTCATTTCTTCACCATTATAACCTTAAAGATTCCCAGGAACCAACTCATTCATTTCCTGTCTACTTGGGGGTCAAACATTCTGTACATTGACAGAGAGAGAGAGAGAGAGAGAGAGAGAGAGAGAGAGAGGTGGAAGGCACAACCCTGCTCTGAAAGATCGATTGAGGGAGATGTACCTATATACAACTAGAATAGGAATGAGTCTGTTCTGTCCTCAAGGTTAGAAAAGAAGTGATCTGGTGGTTAGGGTGGGAGTGAGGGGTAGCACTTCTAGTTCTTACTATACCTCTTCAATTAAATCAGTCCAAAAGGAACGAGAAAGAGAAAGAAAAACACGGTTGCAAGACCCTCAGAAAACTTTCTCCTGTTCAGCAAACTCACCTAAGGATGATGGTTGAATGAAGCACTATTAATCTGGGGAGATTAGAGAGTGGGTATGTGATGCAACAAAGCTTATGAAAATTTTTTTTTTTCTGAAAGATGTTAATCTCTAGAAAGCTCCATTTTTTGGCTTGGGGATAGGACTGCAGCCCTTTCTCTTTTCTCCTAGCTTCCAGGAAGTCCACAGCTTTGCCTCGGGCAAGGCTTTGCCATGGGGACCTCTGTGTGCAGCCATGGCCAGCTGCCACTCTCTGATACTTCTCAATGGGACCATCCAGGGAGACCCTCTGGACCTCAAAATGTTTGAGGCCACCACCTGGGTAAGCCTCTGACCTTCCGAGAATCTAAGCTTCTTCAGTTTCCAGCGCAACACAGTCTCTGTCACAGCCACCTAATATTTACAAATAGTGAGGTTTCCAATATGGAGTAAAGGGAAAACTAGTGTAAGGCTAGTCATCATCTCATCTGTACAGTACAACTAATAATTGTATCTATATTGTAAAATTACTGTGAGGACTAAATGAGATGGTATATTAAAAAATACTTGGCACAGTTTCCTGGCACATAATAGAAGTTCCTTGGTATTACAATATAATTGTAATTCATATATAATTCCCAACTCATTGTACTGTTCTATGTGCAATGTCTGGTTTCGATGTTTTCTAGAATTGATTTGGTGAAGTGATAGACACATTAGTTAGTTTCATTGACCCCTTCTACAACATGCATAGGTCAAAGCATCATGTTGCACCCCATAAATATACATAATTATCATTTATCAATTTAAATATATAAAAGAAAAAAAATCTCAGAACATGAGAATTAGGAGGCACTGCTATCCACAGTGCTTGGGATAACTCATGGTCACCAAGAGTTTTATGGCCATTAATTTGGTATCAATTCTGTTTCTAAGACAGGAGATGACAGAAAGGAAAACCACTGTAGACCTTCCATTGAGACACTGAATTGGCTATAAAAGTACATGCTGCAGTACAGGAATCTGACTCTCCTGGCTCTGGGTTTTGCTCTGCTATAATTAACTCCTCGGTTCTGTGAAGTTCTCACCCATGTTGGGGCCTTGATTTCCTTGACCATAAAAAGAAGGGGATTGAATGACACCAATGTTGTTACAGAGTAGGAGACAAAAAAGCTGGAATCTAGGCAGGCGTGGTGGCGCATGCCTGTAATCCCAGTGACTCAGGAGGCTGAGACAGGAGAATCACGAGTTCAAAGCCAGCCTCAGCAAAAGTGAGGTGCTAAGAAACTAAGTGAGACCCTGTCTCTAAATACAATACAAAATAGGGCTGGGGATGTGGCTCAGTGGTCGAGTGCCCCTGAGTTCAATCCCTGGTATCCTCCAACCCCCCAAAAGTTGGAATCTTTTCTTTAAAGGAACTCTTACTAAGAAACCCTCTTTTAAGACCAAATATTTGGAGTTTTTCTGGCTCAGATAGAGGTGGAGGTAAAGGAGGAGATTAAGAAAAACACATCCACAACTGCTTGCTGCTCCAGGCTCTGTGAGCACCACTGAAAGAAACAATCTTTAGCTTCTTTCGAACTCTAGTAGAGCATGATTCTGTAGCAGTCTGATGTAACTTTGCCAATCCTTCATCCTTTCTGGATTACTGTTTCCATATCTTTTTCAGCCACTAAATGAGTTGATTACAAAGCACTTTGATATCTTCAGGTAAAAAGTTCCTATGATTATAACTTAGAGTCATTATTATGGCAATTACTGAACATTAACCACATCCATCACAGTCCCTGCCCTGTTCTGCCCTGCCTGGAGGACCATCAGTCCATATTAGACAGAGGGAGGACAGCAGAGTCTACTATGCACTCCAGGAAAAGCAAGACAACAAGGAGCCTGCTTCACACAGAATAAGCCTGGCTATTAGTGCTCACTATTTTCAAGTTAAGCTCTTCCGAAATAGAGAATGAGCCTTTATATGGCATACTCCACCAGAGAAAGCAGGATAAATTGCATGAATAATTCAGAATGTCTGCCCTTCAAGTTCAGTAGCATTTCCAATGCAGTATTATTATTATTATTATTTTTTTTTTGCTGTGGTGGAATAGGTCTGTTTTGTCTCCATCTAGCAGAGGGAGGAGACACAGTGAACACTGAGGTGGTCTGAAGATTTGCTCAAGAGAAGGGTTTGAACATAGTACCAGTGGATGAACAATGTACACATAAATCTCTACAATGAAATATCTTGTTTGTGAAATAGGAAATGGCTGTTTCTGGGGATGATTTCCACATCAAGGGAGTGCCGGCATATGCCATGGTAGTTAAGCCCTGCAAAACAGCCAGCCAGGTAAGCCTTGCATGTTGTTCACCCTACAACACCCAAATTCCTAGGGAAACTCCCTTTTGGCCCACAATTGTTGAAAGCTCACAGATGCGTCTTTGAATTTCAGGTGTGAAAAGTGGGACATTTCCTCTTTGCTAAAATGAGGATTGAGGGAGAAGTAGTTGATTCCCAGTAGTTAGATGTCCCTCTCTTCCCCATTCCTCCACCAGGTCCCAGTGGAAGGAATTGCAATTCTCCATCAGTTCCCCTTCTCATCAGCACTGCAGAGGATGACAGTCATTGTCCAAGAGATGGGAGGTAACCGACTGGCGTTCATGAAAGGTGCACCAGAGAGGGTGGCAGGCTTTTGCCAACCTGAGACAGGTTAGTAACAGACTTGGATTATAGCAGGCAAGTCTGCCCCAAACACGTGATCTGGAATACAATTGCCTGTCATTGGTCAGCACCAATTGGCTGACTCATTGGCACTCCGAATTCAACGACAAAATCAAGCTTGTATCTCTTACTTCTTATATTTCCCAGTTTTCCATTTTAGGTAATGGTATCACCCATCAACCCCTATTTAGGAGTCATTTCTCTCCCTCCCTCTCCCTCAGGGCCTCAGTCTTGTCTGTTGCTAATCCACGGTCTCATCAGTATATCCTTTCAGACCCGCTTTATCCCTCATTAGTTCAATAGTTGGTGAATTTTTGTCCCCTGCTTCCAGTCTCCCTTCCTCTGACTCACCCATCACCACTGTGTGGCCACTATATATATTGTCATTTGGCGGCTTCTCAAGATTTTACTATATTCTTAAATTCCTTTAGGATCATATATAAGACTTTCATGATCTGACACTGTTGAACTTTCCAGATACACTCCTTCCTCTCCTCACATCCTGTGCTTCCTCTGAGCTGAACTAACTACACAAGGCTTGCAGTCTCATGCTTCCTGCCTGGGGCACATGGTGCTCCCTCTAAAGCAAAAAAGTGCTTTCCTTCCTGCACTGCCCACATCCACCCAGTCAGGCATATGCACCACTAAGTGTGCGTGTAACATGCTGCACTCACTAGGATCGCAGCAAGGATCTCCTATGGTTGTACTGCTAGTATACTAGCTTTTATCCGATTCGACAGAAGTCCTTAGAGCAGAACTTGCATTGTAATCTCTACATAGCCAATGCCAGGCACATAGCAGACTCTCAAAAAATATTTATTGATTAAAACTGGAGAGAGAAAAAAATCTACCCATTCTCTATCCTTTTTCAAATGCTTCCACTCCATTTCTGCTTCACTGGATGCTGCGAAATCAATCGTGGCACTAGAGTTATATTTATGATTTTCACTGACTTGTTTGTATGACATTTTAGAATTGTGTTTTCTTGGGTAAGAGCTGTCAAGAATTTCCCTACTAGTAGCAGCTAAGTAAATATTGCATACTAATCCTGTGTTGTTTTCTGAACAGTCCCAACTAGTTTTGTTAGTGAACTTCAGATTTACACGACACAGGGGTTCCGGGTCATAGCACTGGCCTACAAGAAGCTGGAAACTGACCACCACACAACCTCCTTGACAAGGTAAAGGGGAAAGATTTTGATCAAGAAGGACAGTTTTGTGGGAAGATGCACCAGCCTTAGATAGGACTGTGGGGTTCTGGGTGGTGGATGCAGCAACATAGCTTGCTCGATTTTTGTGCTTGAAGTGTCTCTGGCAAACAGGTGTACAGTCACCCTGTTTTGCTAAAATCACAAAGTGGATATGAACACTGACTGGAATAATTTGTGAGAAATATCCATATAAAATGTGAAAGATAATGCGATTTTATGGCTTTGTGAAACCACATATGAATATAACCAGCCTTTCAGGTTTGAAATTGTGGTCATGCCCCTGTTGTTGAAATTACCATCAGTGGATTGGTTGGAAGTAATGAAACATAACATTTGCCTGAAAAAAAAAATTCTTAATAAGAAACACACAGCTTAATGAAACAAATAAATATAACATAGACTTACATAATCCAGGAAATGTTTGCAGAAAAACAAAACAAAATGTTTCTAGCGGGGTCATACTAAAGAAAGTTATGATTATGCGTACATTAAAATAAAGATACTCAGTAGCTAAAATGGATCGAGTATTTATAATTTCAACTTTATTTGTTACGATTTTATTTTCCACTGTTTTTATGCTATGGTTTTTAACTTCAATACCAGTTCCAATAGTATATATCAGCCACTACTAGCTATACCAGTATGGAGATGATCAAAGCTCATTTGGTTATTTAGGATTTTAAATTCGAAAGGTTTTACATATTCATTTTCAGTGTTATCATACGCAAGTCTTTCTAGTTTAGCTCAAAACTTTTCCTTTAATATGCTAAAAGAAGATTTATATGTAACATTATTTGTACATATTCTTTGTATAAACATAATACCCTCCTATAGAGTTAAAAATACAAGCAAAAATAATGTACCACAAAAAGGAATGGTTCAGTAAATGCTAAACTGACCCTGCTAAAACAACACAAAGAAGTTGCTTGCATCTGTGTACAGAATTCTCAAAATTTCGAGAGCTTTAAATGCAGACGGACACAGGCCTGGTACATGGTATAGTCTGAATACCTCAGTCTTGCTGTCAGTGAGGCGATTCTGTGATTTGTCAAATAACACTTGATAAAATTTCTAAAAGATAATATAATCTCCCCATTTATACAGTTGTTACACTTCCACAAAATTCAATAGGGTGCAAACATATTTTTTTTGTTTATATGTAAACCATAGCTAGGGGAAGTATAATAAAAATTATGATTGTCAAATAGATGAATATTATCTATTAATAACAGTATAGTATGCTATACAGTAATACAGTAGTATAATAAACAGTGTAAGTCTAAATTGACTTAGGAAAAATGCAATTTTTTTAGATGTCCGTGGATATTTAGTTATCAAAGCTACTTGGGACATGGCCTAATTCTTTATGCATTGGCTATTACAAAAATATTTCATACTTGCCAAAAATTTTTCCAAAATATCCTCTGGAGGCAATTGTGTCCCTGCTGAGAATGACTGATGTGACCAACCCTCTAATTTTGTGAATGGGCAAAGAAGCCCAGAGGGGGAGGTGATTCATTTAAAGTTATTGAACGTTGGATTCCTGAGCCTATTGGGACACTCCCTGTGGAGCCAGCTTAATGTGAAACTTTGGCTAGATATTTTTGTAATCTAATCAACTCAGTTCCAGGTCTTTCAAGTCAGAGATCTAAAAGCGAACTTTGAAATTGGATGTCACATTTTGAAGAAGAGCAAACTTGGGTCCAGGAAAAGGATGTGCAGAATTGGGAATGGTACTTAGTTTCCTGAGAGTTATTTTCAGGGATATAGCAAGATTCTGGCTACCATGTTTCTGCTACTTTTGACTGTTATAATAGGTGTTTTGGTCAGCTATTTCAGTGCTTTGTCTAAAGAAAAATTGGAGAGGAAAATTTATTTAAGGGCTCATGGTTTCAGGGGTCTTAGTCTATGGACAGCCAGCTCCATTCCTCTGGACTCAAGGTGAGGCAGGACAACATGGCAAAAGAGTGTGACAGAGGGAAGGAGCTCACATGATGGTCAGGAAGGAGAGAGAGAGAGAGAGAGAGAGAGAGAGAGAGAGAGAGAGAGAGAGAGAGGTGTCTCCACTTGCCAGATACAAATATATACCCCAAAGCTCTGCCCTCAATTCCTACCTCCTCCAGCCACACCCTACCATTCAGTTACCACTCAGTTAATACCTCCCTACCATTCAGTTACCACTCAGTTAATACCTATCAGGGAATTAATTCACTGATTGGGTTAAGACTTTCACAGCCCAATTATTTCTCCTCTGAACCTTCTTTCATTGTCTCACATGTGAGCTTTTGGGGGATACCTCACATCCAAACCATAAGTATTTGCATGCTCATAAGCTATAGATTCATGATTTGGAGACTTGCATAGGTACTCAGACCTCACTGGGGAACACGTGAGCAGTAGGTATTGGTTATGTCATTGACAAAAGTATTGGCATTCTAAATTCTAACTGTCAAAGTCCGGTGGGGTTTATATGTGAATTTACTTATAAGATCTGATCATAGGTTGTTAACTTGTTAATTTGTCTCTCTTGTCTTAACATCATATCACCACTGTATATGCTCAAAGTTACATGAATTGGCTTGTCTTTTGCTGATCCCTGATTGAGACAGCACATGCTTTCTGATATTTATTTGTTTGTTTATTTATTTATTTTAATTTTGCTATGTGTGTGTTTGTGGTTACTCAGGGTGATTTCAGCACTATCATAATCTCTTTGAAGTTAATTGGCCCCTTTATTCATATTTCTTCCTTTAGAAGTCACATAGATTTTAAGAACATGAAGCGTAATCATGAGGATGACAATTCTCCCTTTTTATGAAATCCATCATTCTTTAGAAACTTCAGATGGAGGTATAATATCTGCATAGGAAGCAGGAAAAGCCTGCTATTCTAAGGTGCAGAGTTTGAGACTCCTCAAGGGATTACTCCTTTTCATTTCTTGCCTCCAATTGAATCCTCAGGAAAGGAAGAATAATGGAATGTTAAGAGTTAGCAGAGACCTTGGAAATCCTGACACAAACTGGGCAGGGTGACCTACTCACGGTCACACAGGAAGGCAGTGATGAGGACTCCAGTCTCCTGGTGGTTATGCAGTTGAACCCTATGAAGAGTTTATATGCCAGAGAAACTGGAAATACCAGTATTAAAGAGGGTGGTAGGCTCTGTCAGGTGTTTTCCCTTGCAGCTCTTTTCTTGGCCTAATAGGGCACCTTGTGGTTGGCTCATGTCATGTCATCTCTGAAAATATCTAAAGCCTGAGGCCTGAGGATGAGGGTCACAAGAATCAGGAATCGATTAAGTTATCCTTCAAGAACAAGCTCAAATAACACCTCTTCCAGAAGGCTCTAGTCACTCCACCTATAAATGATCACACTCTGGCTCCCTCGGACTCTGATTTGTACATCTGTCACAGTGCTTTCCCTAGCTTTCCATATAAACAAGGTGGTCAGTTCTAGTTCTCCCCCCTGGTTGAGGGTGAATCTCTAGATTCAGGGGCTACCATCTAGTCTCTACATATTTTCTCAGTCTTCTCCTTGATCCTCCTATTACTTCACTTATTAGGTGCTCAATAAATGCTAATGGGCCTAACACACTGCCTGAGATCACAGTAGGAACCTTGAAAAAGGAAATGAAGTTTCCTATGTTGCATGGCCAAACAAAGTCACAACAGGTATCAGAGCATCTTTCTATGTGGGGGCACCAAATGGGAACACTGAACATTGACTCACATGGTCTTGCCTTCAGGGAGTAGAGACAGATCAAAAGGTCAAGAATGATAATAAATGGGCAAATACAAGCCAGATAAACTGAGGAGGAAGCAAAATGGCAAAATGCTTAGCAGTTATTTCCACCTGAAGAAATATTTTATTTATTTTTTATTTTTATTTGTTTAAGGGGCACTTAATCACTGAGCCACATCTCCAAACCTTTTTTTATTTTGAGACAAGGTCTTGCTAAGTTACCTAGGGTCTCACTAAGTTTGATGAGGCTGGCTTGAAACTTGAGAACCTCCTCCCTCAGCCTCCCAAGCCTCTGGGATTACATGAGTGTGCCACCACGCCCAGCTATCTGGAGAAATCTTAATGAGGTAGTAGCATGTGAGTTAAGACTTAGAATATAGAAAGGGATTCAATGGCAGATCATCGGACTCTATTACTTTTTTCATGAAATAAAGAAAAACTCTAATAGTTTGCAAATGTCTAGAGATGGCTAAGTACAGAGCCTACTCATGGTGAGTGGTCTAACTTGGCTGGTGGGGGAGGGTGGGAGAAGAATACAGTGAGATAAAGCTGGAAAGATAGTTTGGAACCAGATCACATGGACACTTACATGCCAAGTTCAGAATAAGGAAGGCCATCCTTCAAAACCTGCTCTCAGGTGACTGAAACTGTGTCCATTCCCTATTGCCCAGAGGAGGTATCAGGCGTTTTCTGCGAGCCTCACTAACTCTAGGTCATGGCCCTGGCAGGTGTGAGACCCAGCACTAAGATGCAAGGGGTGGCCTCAGCAAGAGGGCTTTAGTGGGTGCTGCTTGCATCTGTATTTCAGCTAGAATTAGGCAGGGCTGGCTGGTGTCTTGTCTAAATGAATCTTGGAAGTCTTTGAATCTCTAATCCTAAATACTTGGTCCTGTGGAATGTTCCTAAAATTGTCCTTGTATGGGGGATAGGAGCCTTGGAAATCTCAATTACTTGCAGACACATATGTATGGTGTGTGTGTGTGTGTGTGTATGTGTGTGTGTGTGTATGTATATATATATATGAAATTCTTTTTTCCCATGCAGGGAGAAGGTAGAATCAGACTTGATATTTCTGGGATTACTGATCTTGGAGAACAGATTGAAGGAAGAGACAAAACCTGTCTTGGAAGAGCTCATCTCAGCCCGGATAAGGACGGTAATGATCACAGGTATAGAGCAAAATGTGCAGTAAAAACAAGAGACAGGGATTGACTCACTTAGCAAATGTTGTTGATGGCCCATGCTGGGCAGGGGCAGGACTGGGAGCTGCAGATGGCAACACAAAGTCAAAGCTGCAGCCCTCACCAAGTTTCCATCCTAGCAGGATGTCAGAAAATGATGACAGCATTTGCAGTCACCTAGCAAATGCTGTAACCAATGTTTTGAGGCATACAAAAGAGTGCAATATGGTAAACTGTGTCTGACCGTCTGCGTTAGATGAGGCAGTTGAGAGTGGCTTCTCTGAGTGGTGGCATTTAAAATAAGATTTCAGTGGCAAGAAGATATGAGCCATGCAAAGATGAGTTTCATTGTTCAGGTTAGGAGAAGAAGAATGCTTCGTCAATGTGGTCTCTAAACTGTGTTAAAGGCCCATCAATAACAACATTAATATTCTGGAGATAAAAATAAAATGCTGTCCTTTCTACTCCTAATCCCAACCCCAGATACCACAATCAAGGGAGCACCAAGAAATGATCGCTCAAGAGAAAAGCGTCAACTCTCTTAGGGAACACTTTTCGGTGGTGCCATGATTTTTTAACGGTGAACAGCTGACTTCCTCAAGAATTTGTGTTTTTGAGAATGTGCTGTCTTCCCTTTCTCTGCTCTCCTAGTCAGATGCTTTTAATTCTTTGGCGTTTGTCACTGAGACACAATATTTCCCACCAAAGCATTTACTCCCCCCACCCAGTGTTCCTGAGCCCACATCAAAAGCTGGGGACCCTGGACTGCTGTTACTGCCCTTATATCCAGACCCATTCTAGCTCCAAGGCACTTCTTGCTGCTTTAGTTTTCTCCTCTTGTGGCCTCAATCCAATTTTAGGTGCTGCTGAGTTGATTCACTTCTTATGAGCCTTTCTCTGAATCCTTCTGCTTAAAAATCTTTATTTAGCACTCACATGCTTGTTTTCATAATCTAGCCCCAGCCATTAGATGTACAAATCAGAGTGCATCACTCTCCACCCTTTCTCTTCAATTCTTTTAACCTCACATTAAAATTTCAGCTCTGTTTCTTTCCTTCCATGTTTACAATCTTTTCTTCTTTGGATGGGATCAAGGGGTGAAATGCTCTCTGATTTCTTACATATCCTGGATAAGATTTTTGTCCCTGACAGACACACGAGTCAAAGTTCTTTTTTCTTAACCATCTGTATGTAAGTACTATTTGAACTTTTTTACTTTATATTTTGCCTTCTGACTTTTGATATTATAAAAGTACAATGCCAGTCCATTTTGCGGCCACTTTTTCTTTTCTTCATATAATCTTTTATCTTTAACTTTGCAATTTAGAAATGTATGCCTGTGTGTGTGTGTGTGGGTGCATGCATACACATGCACACATACACATATATATAAATTTACATATATATTGTGATTAGTTTAGTTTGGAACATAGAGAGCACTTTAAATCTTTCTTTCTTCCTGTTCTATAAGTATCCTTTACGGTTCATTTAATTATGGCCTTTGTTCTCTGTCTTAGAATTTCTATTATTCACATAACAGGTCTCCTGAATTTATTCTTTCAGTTTCTTATCTTTATTCTTTTGGTTGCCATATTTTTATAATTTTGTTTTGTACTCTCAGATTTTTTTTTGTTGGGGGGCACCCAATTTTTCCAAATCATAGTACAGGTCTCAACAATGATCCTTATCTCCTTTAAGTCACATAGTAAGTTGTTAAGAAAGATATTTTGGGTTGGATGTGGCTCTAGAAAACCTTCGTTTTGTTTTATTTCTTGGTGCTGCATTTGGCCACCCTTTGTGCTCTCATTGTTTTCATACAGGTTTCATGATCTCCAGTGGCTGATATTCCTCACCAGTCATGAGGTCTGGTGGTTCTGCCTGATCTTTCCTATCCAACTTCTGGGAACTCTTAGATTTCTTTGGTGACTGATGGTCAGGCTGGGCTGTCCATCCACACAGTGGATCTCTCAGAGGTGGTGGAGGCAAAATTGGCCTGTGTTGTCAGGTGGAGGGCTGTGGTCACCCTGCTGAGGCTTCTGGCAGTGGGGAGCGGGGTGTCTTTCAGCCATCAGGACTCCACGGGACCTTCCCATCTCAGTTACTACAGCTCCTTCCCACAAGCTCAGCTCTTTTGAGGATCCTCTTAAATACTGTGCTAGAATTATTATTAACCCATCAGATATTATATTATTTCTTAGCAGTTGCTCTAGGAATCACAATATTCATACCTATTATTTCAAGAAGGCTTACAACCAAGAATGTCCTTGCCCCTGTTTTTTGTATGGTTGTTGTAACTTTGACATACATAAAAAACATCCACTGGACAGTGTTCTAGTCTTTATCTTCCATGATAGAGAGTTAAAAAACATACATGATGAAGAAAATTAAATTTTATATTGATATGTTTTTATTTCTTAATACAAATTAACCTCTGGTGCTACTTCCTTTCAGTCTAAAGAATTTCTTGTAGACATTCTTTTTGAATGTGTCTGCTGGCAATGAATTATCTGAGTTTTCTTTCATCTTATAATATTTTTATTTTTCCTTTATTGCTGAGAGATATTTTCATCAACTATAGGAGTCAAGTAGACATTTCCTTTTCTCAAAGTACTTTAAAGATATAATTCCACTGTCTTCCTGCCTCCATGGTTTTTGATGAGAAATCTGGGGTAGTTTGAATCATTGCTTTCTTATCTATAATGCGTTTTTGTTGTTGTTATTGTTGTTGTTCAATTGCTTTTTTCTTTAACTTTTAGCACTTTGAGTCTTCTGTGTCTGGATGTCGTTCTCACTGAGTTCATCCTGTTTGACTTTCACTCAGCTTTTTGAATCTGTAAATTTAAGTCTTTCACCATATTTGGAAAGTTTTCTGCTATTATTTCTCCCAATATTTTTTCTGTGCCAATCTCTTTCTCAGACTTTACTGATGTGAATGGGAGTCCTTTCTATATCCTTGAGTTTCTTCATTTTTTTAAAAAAACTTTTTATCTTCTGTAGACTGTATAATTACTATGGATCTGTCTTCCAGTTCACCGACCCTTTCTCTTGTTTTCTCCATTCTGCTTTCAAGCATGTCCGGTAATTTTTTTTTTTTTTTTTTGTACCAGGATGAATATATATTAAAAAAAATTAGGCAAAGTATTTTTCAATCCTAATGTACCCATTTGGTCCTTTTCTTACCATTTATTTGTTGAGAACTTCTGTCTTTCCATTTGTTTTGTGAGTACTAACATTTGCCACATAAAGGAGGCTTATCATAACTCCTTAAAACTGGTGATTTCAACATCTGAGTCATCAAGCAATTGGCAACTTTTTTTAAAATTGATAATTGGTCAGATTTTCCAGGTTTTAGTATGTTGAATATCCTGAATATCTTGAATATTATGTTGTGAGACTTTGGATCCTGGATCCAAAGTTCTGTCTTGCCCATTGCAGATGACGCTTCTAACATTTGCTTAGATAGTCAATCTTTTGCTATGATGTTTGGGTCTGTCCCATTCAAGGATTGTTATGTCAAATGGGAGGGTGATTTATATTATACTCCAATTCCTGAAATTTCTTTGGGTCTGCTTCACCCAGGCCCACTCTGGGTTGAACCCAAATCTGAATTAGTCCCCCCTTTCCAGCTCTTTTCTTTCCAGAATTCTCCTCATACTCTCCAGATGACCCCTTTCCTGGCTTCTCTGACCAGAAAGACTGGGTTTCTCTTGGAGTTTTAGCTGCTTGAATTTCTCTGGGACTAGAGCCAAGGTTCAAATCAAACACATAAAAGGAAAGACAAAAAAAGCTGAGAAACTCACCCCTTCTAGATTGCTTCTTCAGTTTGATTCCCACAGTCTGCTTGCTTTCTTCTTTAGAGTCCTTGGGCAGTTACTTTTTTGGTGGGGGGAAGGTACCAGGGATTGAACCCAGGAGTGCTTAACCATTGAGCAACATCTCTAGCCTTTTGTTGTATTTTATTTAGAGACAGGGTCTTGCTGAGTTGCTCAGGGCCTTGCTAAGTTGCTGAGGCTGGCTTTGAACTCATGATCCTCCTACCTCAGCCTCTGTGGCCATTGGGTACTTTTTGGGTTGTGTTTCAGTGCTTTCAGGTTGTAAGGAAGGGAGAGAGAGATTGTAGTGGGTTTAATTCATCCTGGCTAGAAGTGGAACCACCAGATTCAATATTAAAATGGCAGGGTTTTCCCTAAATGTCTGCGAAGCCCTTAACAAATGAGAGAAATAGATTTTAATTTTGCTTATTATTTTTCCTTCCCACCCTCTGGCAAAAACACACTGGTAGGTGATGGAGTTACCTGATGAAAAAGAGCCAGAACCAGAAAAGGGGTCATGAAATTACAGGTTAGATCTAGAAAACACCTTAGAAATGTTCCTCTATACCCCTAAATAAGGACTGAACTCCTCAGCCTGGCTCTCCCGGCTCTCATGAGTTGGTTCTGTCTCTTCAACCTCTCTTCTTAGAACGCTCAATTTTTCTTCTAGGCGACAATCTTCAGACTGCAGTAACAGTGGCCAGAAAGTCTGGGATGGTTTCTGAAAGCCAAAAAGTCATTCTCATCGAGGCAAATGAGACCACTGGGTCCTCGTCAGCATCGATATCTTGGAAATTAGTAGAAGAGAAGAAACATGTTTCATATGGGAATCAGGTATACCTCAAAACAGACGGGCCACATTTCCTGACTTGTCTCATGATGTCGGTGATGGACAGCTCTGATGGGCACAGTGTCAGAGTGACCTAGAGTCCACCGACTTCCCCAGGTGTCTAACAATATGCAGTTCAATGAACCCAATTATATCAGTTTTCCCCACTGTTTCTTCTGTGCTCTAAGGTATGGGCTTTCCTGAGCGCTGGAAACAATCCATCTTTTATACTTAAAAAACTTGTTGGCTTTGTATGAGAGAGCATACAGTCAGCAGAGCTGTGAATCTAATGTCTTATTTTTCCCTTTGCTTGTCTGCCACCCCATTGGGTTCAAAGGGGATTTAGTCCCTGAGAGAGACACTACCCTGTGCATTGGAAAATCAGACTACATCCTCAAGGGAGACAATACAAAATTTCATTCATTTATCTTCAGTCTTGCCAGCAATATTTCCATTGTGTCCTTGTGAAACAATATTAATTCTGTAAGGAAAAAAAAATAGTAAGCGCTCACTTCAGGGAGAGATTTGTTAAGCTGCAGGGCTTTTGTATTTTACACTTGAAATGTGTGAAATGTGCTCTTCCCTGGGACTCACTGAGATCAAATCAGGATGAGAAGAGGACATGAGTAAGTGTTATTCTCCTGTTCACTGGTGGCTGTGATGTGCGAAGATGGATCTAGCAAAGAGAAAAGTACTTCTCTGAGGAATCAGGACTAGAGTGTGACTTTTAAAGAGAGACCCTCATCTGTCTTCGTTCCCTCTCTCTAAAGTGCTTGTGGTCCCAAGCACTCTAGCAGGTGGAAGAATGTGAAATAACTGTATCTCATTTTGCAGGACAATTACATTAACATCAGGGAAGAAGTCTCTGATAATGGCAGAGAAGGAAGTTATCATTTTGCCCTAAGTGGAAAATCCTTCCATGTTATAACTCAACATTTCAGCAGCCTACTGCCAAAGGTGGGTTCTTAGAGTGTAATACTCCATCTGCAAAGATGCTGATGACCTCACATAGCATGGTCCTAAACCACTTTAAACTTCGAAATAAGTAAGATATATATATATATACCTAGTTACTTTTACATATCATAAGAAAGAGATATTTCTGCAAAGGTTACTGTGGTCTTGTTTCTTATTATAATTAAAATAAATAAACTTGATAAGTAGGTTTTCCTCCATCTATAGGATTGAAGTGTGAGTGATATTTTAAATCGTAAGAACTGATTTTAGGTTGCTGTCATTATATTGCCATGATATGTGTGGGTCAGGGGGAGGGGCATCTCACTGTATAGTGGAAATCCTGCAATCGTACTGTAAAGCAGACCAAGAATAAAAGAACTCCATTAGGTTTTTGATAGAGCCTATATGCTAAAGTTGATTAACCTCAAGCTTTTCTTATGAAGAATGTGCTTATAATAAGGGCAGATAACTTACCTGCCAAAGAATAAAGATCTTGAGGGAAGTTGAGTTGAGCTTACTGCAGAGAAGAACAAGAAACACATAGATCTAACACAGAAGAATTTAGACATTTGGAAACAAACTTAAGTGGACACAGCTGGTACATACAGGTTTTTATGCCCTCAACCGATCGTAATCCATAGCTCAAATTAGGTTTGGGATAGCAGCTGAGTTTCATAATTGGTAAAGTCTAGGCAGCATGATTAAATCCAAGACCACAAATAATCACCATTTCATCATCAGTTTCTTTTCTGCCTGTTCTGACCAATTTTCTGAGAAGCAGTTGCTTCTTTTTCTTCTCCTGGAGTCCTGACCTTTTGCTAAGCTGCAATTTCTCAGACTTTGCTTTTTCAAGGTTCCAGCAAGTTCAAGATTTTTCAGGACCTCATTTTTCATGGCAGCTGGGTTGAATTCCTATAAGTCATTATTTTCATAAAATATCTTATTAAGCTACCATCTTTACTGATATTTTGTCTCCATTGTCATTTACCAGATGACAAAAAATCTCAATGTCTGTATTAAAATTCCAAAAAAGGATTCCTTGGAAACAAACATCACTCAGTGTTCTGAGTAGTATCATTTGTTTCATGTATGACCAGCCAACATGATAAAACATTTTGCTTTTGGATTCCTTACAGATACTTATCAATGGGACCATCTTTGCAAGAATGTCTCCTGGGCAGAAATCCAGTCTGGTGGAAGAATTTCAGAAACTGGAGTAGGTTCTTTGCCTATTCAGGTGGCATGAACTACATGGAGGCTTTAGAGTAAGGGCTGGGGGAGTGTGAGAGGTACAGAGAGCTGCTCAGTTTCGCTAGGACAGTGGTTTTTATCCTGGCTTCACATGATAGTCATTGGCTGAGGGAGCTTTGAAAAAAATAGCAACACCAGGACCACACGGTCCAGAGATTCGGGTATAGTTGCTCACACAGGGTTTGGACATTTGTATTTTTTCAAAACTCATAGGAGTCAGTTTTTGTACCCAAAGTTGAGAACCACTGTACTAGAATATAAGGAGCATGAAAAGTTATGGAGAGAAATAAGACTGAAAGACTGACTTAAGCTCAACTCCTGACAGTACAATGGGAATTTAGACTTTATTTTAATAAACAGTTGTTATGATCTAGGGAGATTTGTATGATCAGGGATTCACATAACCCACCCTCAACATTAAAATATTCTTATGCTAAAGCATCCTTTCCATCCAAATCAGAAAAAACACAAAGACTCTCCATTTCTAGTCAGAATAAAAAGTTCACATAGAGTGCCCATCATCCGGGACCCTGTATTTCCTGTTCATGGACCTCATGGAGTAGCCACGCTAGACCTCATCCTACTCACCTGATTCAGTCCTTAGGAAAACTACTCAATTTACAAAGCCCTATCTTCCCTACATGGTTTAAACCCAGAGGTATCTAGTACTTACAGGAAGGCAAGAGAAAAGTGCAGGTACTTTGTGAAAGCTCTTGTAGTGCTTGTCATTTAAGAAGCTCACTCTCCATAATCTTTTTCAACACTTCCAGAGAGAAGTGTTTTTTGTCCAACCTCAAAAAGCCATCTGAACTGGGGAGTGCTTTCTTTCTTCCACTTCTGGGTCTGGCACATCATGTTTTAGTGAGTGACTGAGGACAGGGTGGATTTAGCATGAGCAGCACAGCAGCTAAGACCTGCTTATCACTGGGAGCTCATCAGGCACTTTCCTGACAGCACTTCATTTCACACTCAGAACACTTTGCAGAGGAGAGAAATGATGATGCAGGATGGTAGGATGCCCAGGCCCAACTCTAGATCTTCTGGTTTTGAATCTTGTGCCCGCCCTACCATGTTCTGACATCTCATCATGGGGTCATGTATATCCCTTTTCAACCAGGAAGGCTGCTCCCCAAGCAGTGAAGTACAGTGTCTCCATGAAACACGTGGAGTCAGGAATGATGCCTTGGATTTCATCATCCATTATGTAAACTGCTCAGTTACACTTTACTTCTAATAGACCCTTAGGGAAACTCCTTTAGAATAAATGATAAAGTTAAGCCCTAAGTAATCATGGACACTTTGTTTTTCTTAATTAGAGAAATTAGCTGGTAAGGATAGCTTTGATCTTCTTCCACCATTTCACATGATTCCCTTTTAGTTATTTTGTAGGTATGTGCGGAGATGGAGCCAATGACTGCGGGGTAAGTAGCTGCCAGTGGGTGGCCATAATCTCTCAATAACACATACCTGGAGCTCTTTAGAGACGGTACCTGCTGGGATATATATATACCCTTTGCATTTCTCATGATGGATAAACTGCTGGTGAGGATCTGGGAGGGTCCTGACCAGAGCCATACCATGACTCAGAGGTCAGTATAGGATAAACAAGGCACAACTTGGTTCTGAAGTTGCCACATCTTTGGCAAGGAGCCTCAATGCCATCTCTTTCTTATGTGCTGGCAGGGTAAAGTCGGGTCGACTTCTGATTAGGGCTGAGACCCAAGTTACCTTGTGGTGGGCTTGACTGGCCTTTTCTTCTGTGTCATCAGGAGAAGTGTGTGTGTGTCCTCACAGGTCATAAGCTGACTCTTTGCTTTCAGGCCTTGAAAATGGCTCATGTGGGCATCTCTCTGTCAGAGCAGGAGGCATCTGTGGCCTCACCTTTCACTTCCAAGACTCCAAACATTGAGTGCGTCCCTCACCTTATCAAGTAAGTGGGCATCTATCCCTATGTTATCTTCTCTCCCTTGAATTTGAGTACAGATAACATTGTTCTGCCTGGGAAAGGCCAGCATCCCTATGTGTGGAGAGGGTCACACAAAAATGCAAACATAGCTTCTGCCTAACAGACTGAGCAGAAATTACGAATAACAATGGAAGAAAAACACCATTTCCAATGGAAGATGTTGATTGGATTATTTTCAAAGTGTTGAAATCTGGAACTTGTAACTGCTTTGAAAATGTATTAATTAGCCTTTCTCTATCTATCTATCTATCTATTATTGGGAATTGAACCCAATGGTACTTTACCACTGACTATACCCCAGTTCCTTTTTCATTTTTTAAATTTTGAGACAGGGTATCCCAAAGTTGCCCAGGCTGGCCTCAAACTTGCGATCTCCTGCCTCAGCCTCCTGAGTGCTGGGACTACAGTGTGCCACTGTGTCTGGCCTTCTTATTTTTAATATGTATCTTCTTAGATGCTTCATACTGGAAAGTTTAAGACATACACTTACCTTCCTTCCCTTTTGCCTCATTATACTGCTTTGAGTAACTTTTCCATCCTTGCCTTTCAAAATCTATACTTATCTTTGCTTCTTCCACTAAAATTTTCCTTGTTGGTTTATTTTTCTTTTCACAGAATATGTAATTCTGTGGCATTTTGTTTGAATGGTAGCAATAGCAGTATACTTGCTCTTGATGATAGTTTAAAAGGGGCTTAGCACCCACATTATCTTATATATCACACACCCTGGAGATATAGGAATGACAATTATCTCTTTTACAAAGAAAGAACTTGAGGCTCAGAGAACTTGGGCATAACTGATATGCTCAAGGTTGCATAGCCATATAGAGTCGCAGATTGTTTTAGAATTGAATTTATTTAGATGGGTTTTTTAATCTACAAATATTATACTTTTACCATATTAAATTAATAATCTGACCAGATTCTTCCATTTAAAAATTATATTTATTCACTTATTGGGCAAATATTTATTGAGTGGGGACTTAGCACCAGGATCAGATAATACTTAACCGATATTGATAAATACTGTCAAGGAAACAAAAAGAACAGCGTGAAAGGTCAGAAGGTGGTTGGGGAGGAGAACTGGACAGTTCCAGAAGGTGGCTTGGCAAAACTTTTCCAAGGAGGTGAGGAATGAGAAGAAACTACCTTTGGGGCAGAGAAAAGGACAGTAGAAAAATCCTGATACATTTAAAAAAACCTAAAAACTGTTTTGAGAGTCAAGTCTTAGCATCCCAAGAAATAATTTTGATCATAAGTAAATTAAAACCTTATTCTTCCTCCCAAATGAAACAGAAATGGCATTTCATGAGTCATTTATTTCATGCTTTAACTATGTAGTGTTTACTCAATCAACAATAACACAAAGAAGTACGCTCATTGCGTCTACTCTGTTTAAATTTGACATATGAGTAATTTGAGTGTGCATATTGTTTTAGAAAAAGTTGAGACTGCCAAAATGAAATTTGAATCAAATGTTTGCCAACCTCCTGAAGGTCCTGCATGAAAATGGATCCCAAACCTGAAATTTTATTTCTGTTTCTTCCCAGAGGAAGAAACTGAGACAAGGGAAATCACCTTCCAAATCAGATCGCATTAGCGGATAGTATTTTGAGTATTTATTAACTTTGTTTTTAGTATAATGTATTTAGTGGTACATTTATATAATTCAAGTATTTTTTATTGATTATGTTTAACAACTTGCTTATAACATTCCTGAAAATTTAACAATTGACTTTCAAGAGTTAGTATAAACCAGCATACCTCTGGTTCCACGAGGTATAGGACTTTGAAAATTGCAATATCATACAAAGATACAAATATCTTGTATGAGGTGTGAGACTAGCTCCCAGATCCCCCTATTCTGAGGTCAGGAGCTTAGCCACTGCCTGCAGAAAGAACAAGAGTAGATATAAGTCTGGGCCCCATTGCCAGATCAAGGCCTCCAGACATCAGCCTGGAATTAGGCTTTCCTCAACATCTAGTCATGCAGTATCCTGAGCCAGGTCCCTCAGTCTCAAGGCTGACTAGTCTGTCAGACACAAAATGGTAAAATCAGATGTCTGATTTTTTTTTTCTCCTGAGCTCAGCTGAACAGCACAGAATAACTGACCTAATTTCTTCCTAACTTCATTTTCTTCCTCTTTCATTGTTTTCCTTACACAGGGAAGGACGAGCAGCTCTTGTGACCTCGTTTTGCATGTTTAAGTACATGGCTCTGTACAGCATGATTCAGTATGTTGGTGTTCTCCTGCTCTACTGGGTATGATTTGGGACCCAGCCTCTTGGTTGATGAGAACCAAAACAAGGGGTGGTGCACTCTCGATTTGCAATGCCCTTTCAAGAAAGAGTGCAAATAGGACATCAGAGCATCAAGAGCCCCTCTAAAAATATCATCAAGGTTTCTTAAAATACATCAGAAATAGACAGGTGCACAGGAGGAGTTGTTGGTATCAATTCTTTGGCTCTGAGATAGAAACTGTTTTATCTAGTCGTAGATAAACATCAGGACTGAATATATCACTTTCAGTCTCATGTTACTGCCACCTGCTTAGACCAGATTTTTATCTTCTTGATTCCTGTGTGGCTCTACTCTGATGTGCCATTCATTCAGGAGATTATTTTCTTCTTTGGTGTAGTGCTTACTAACTGGCTTATCCTATTAAAGTTTGCCAATTTCAGTGGTTCAGGTACTACTCTCCATAGCCAGTTTTGATATCTCCCTAGTGTGGAATGGTCAAGTGATGTGTATGCACCAGATAGATCCAAGAGTCATAAATATCCTTAGAGCACAGGGAATAGGAACATGTAGGAAGAATTAAGAAATTCTGAATTTTGTTTTTAGTATAATTTGTTTAGTGGTATGTTCATATAACTCAAGTTTTTTGGTTGAATGTGTTTAACAACTTGCTTATAACATTTCTAAAAATTTAGCAATTGACTTTCAAGAGTTAGTATAAACTAGCATACCTCTGGTTCCAAGAATATAGGGCTTTGAAAATTGCAATATCATACAAAGATACAAATATTTTGTGATGACTTTTATTATTTGACAAGATGTAAAAGGAGAACAGACATGACTATTTTTTTTTTGTGAGTTCAACACATGAGCTTATTCTTAACACTAATACCAAGAAAAGGAATTTCATTTGTGCTAAACATATCTAGAGTCATCTTTATTTCTTACCCCTTCTAGGTCAAAGATTTCAGTTTTGTTGATTTTGAATTATCTATACCTGTTAATACTCACTGATAAGTAACTAGAGAAAGATGGGCTATTTATAGACAGCCCTATTTTGAAATCTCAACTCATTATATTCAAAAGTAGAATTAAACACAGTACCCTATAATCCCCTTTCCACTAGGGATGGAGAACAAGGAAGGAAGTTCCCCCAAATCTGCAAGACCTGAGCACTTTTTTTTTTAAGTATTAATGTGCTTTATTAGGATTTTCTAACATTTTATCTGACAACACCCAAGGATGCAAATTGTGGTTTAGTTATCCTCATTTCCATCAGTAAAATTCATGTAAGATCACCAGACATTTGTCATTTGAAACTGTTGGAGATGCATGTTTTTATTGTGCCAGACCAAAGTCCAGATTGGGTCTGGTAGAGGGAGATGTTATTTCAACACAGGGTAATACTGACATACAGCCCAGAAAGCACAGGACACATGCTTCCTTTTGGGGAGGGTCTCACAGACTTGGCTCCAAGCACTTCCCACACCAGCACTCACTAACCCACTCAGACCCCAGCCTCACCATCTCCTTGGTAATCTCCCTGAAAAAAATCCTGTGTTGTAGTGAGAAAATGATCTCAGCTCATGCCAGACTTCACCCAAAAGGTCACAACTTTTTAAGTTGGCTTTTCTTTTCATTTTCAGGAGACAAACAGCCTGTCAAACTACCAGTTTCTATTCCAGGATTTGGCCATTACAACTCTGATTGGTGTAACAAGTAAGAGATACTTTAAAAACTTCCTTCCCAGTATAGCAGTGATGTGTGACATATTCCCAAAGATGGGGGATTCAGGGACAGAGTGGGGGAGCAGGGACAGAGAGACAGAGGGCAGGGGGAGAATATACTATCCTCATTTTCATATTGAAAAAGTGTTGCAAAGGAAAAGCTGGTTGTTTTAGTTTTCTGCAAAATATGGAGTTTCCATAAATGGTCAGTAAACATTTAAAAATAAAAGAAGCACCTTGAGAATTGGGAACACTGACATCAGTGAGCTTTTAGGTGTAGTTATAATTGGAATGTGCCCAACAGATGGATGCTAAGTGGCTTTTTATATTTCTGATCTCCAAATCTTAGCCTTTCAGCATTTATAATGGAGCTTCAAAGTAATCTTGCCAGTATACTATGCCTGCCTCCCACCTTCTGATGAATATATGAATTGTCTCCCCAGTTTCCCTGCATAGGAAAATTTTAAAAAAATTTTATGACTTTATTTTTACTAGAGCTATTTTAGATTCACAGAAAAATTAAGAGGAAGGGACAGAGATTTCTCCCTCATCCCCTGCCCCTACACATGCACAGCTTCTCCTATTATCAACATACCCCTTACCCCAGAGTGATACATTTGTTGCAACTGATAGATCTGCATTGACCATCTTATTCACACCAAGCCCTTAGTTTACATTGGGATTCATTCTTGGTCTTATATATTCTGTGAGTTTGAAAATACGTAAAATAATGTGTATGAATCATTTGTGATTCTATTCTAAGTGATATCATACAGATTTTTCACTGCTCTGAAATCCTCTGTGCTCAGCCTGTTTATCTTCCTCCCCTCCCCCAAACTCCCCACAACCACTGTGATCATTTTCCTTTCTCCATAGTCATACCTTTTTCAGAATGGCATATAGTTTGAACTATGCAGGATGTAGCCTTTTTAGACTGGCTTCTTTCACTTGGAAATGTGCATGTGAGTTTCCTCCATGTCTTTTCATAGCTAGATAGCTCATCTCTTTGGGGGACTGAATAATAATCCATTATCTGTATGCCACAGTTTACTTATCTACTCACCTACTGAATGACATTTTGACTGCTTTAAGTTTGGGCAATTATGAATAAAGCTAGTATGAATATTTGTGTGCAGGTTTTAGTGTGAACACAAGTTTTCGGTTCTGTTGTATACACACCCAGGAGTGTAGCGGAATCAAATGGTAAGAGCATGTCAGTTTTGTAGGAGACCCCCAGGTTGTCTTCCACAGTAGCTGTGCCCTATTGCCTTTCCACCGGCAGCGGGTGGAAGTTCCTATTGCTCCACCTCTTCACTGGCATTCAGCGTTGATGATGTTTTGGAATTGGGACCTTCTTAATAAGTGATAGTGGCTCCACATAGGCTTTCAATCTTATTTCTTCCTACCTTCTCAAGGGTTTGATAGTAATCCTCTAATAATCTCTTTTTCCATTTTCATCAACGTTTCTCTGATCTACTGCATCATTCATGAATTTGAATTCTGGGTTGTGGTGTTTTTTGGTGGAAGGCAGTGGCCCCTGAGCCATATCCCCAGTGCCCACCGGCCTTCCCCACCCCTTTCTTTCTTTCTCTCTTCCCACCCCTTTCTCATCTCTTTTTCTCTTTCTCTCTCCCCCACCCCTCTACCTCTCTGAAGTTATTTAAGATGGAATTTTTTCCTAATTTCTTTTGGAATTTTTCATTGGAGATGTATAGAGACACAACTGCTTTTTATGTACTGATTTTATACCCAAAAACATTGCTAAAATTCTTTTGTTTACTCTAGTCATTTCCATGTATATTTTTTGGAATTTTCAATATATAGGATTTGTCATTTGCAAATATAGTTTTGTTTCTTTTTCAATTTAGATGATCTTATTTATTTATTTATTTGTCTAATTTCTCTGAGTTGAACTTTTCAGTACATTGTTGGATGGCAGTGTTGAAAGTGGACATCCTTGTCTTGTTTGTGATCTTAGGGAAGAAGTTTTCAGTCTACCATCTTTGACTATCATGCTAGATGTAGGTTTTTCATTACATGATATATAACCATGGAGATTATAGGTAACATCCTAAATTTATGATAATCTAGCTTGAATTAGTTGCTTAACATACAAAATCTCTGCCTTTTTCTAGCTGTCTTCCTCTTTTATGTTGTTCATGTTACAATTTACATTTTTATCTGTTATAACAGATATATAATCACTTTTATTCATGTCTTTGAAATAATGTAGGAATAAAAAGTGGAATATAAGCCAATATTACAGCAATATCCATTTTTATATTGCTGTTATGGTTACCTTTGCTGGAGATGGCTATTTTTTCAAACACATGTGAGTTACTGTCTAATGTCTCTTCATTTCAATTTGAGCCCATTAGCATTTCTTTCTAGGTAAGTTTAGTAATAAGAACCCAATTTAGTTTTTGTTTATCTGAGAATATATTAATTTCTCCCTCATTTTTGAAAGATAAGTTTTCCAGATATGGAATTCTTGGTCAACAGGGATTTTTTTCTTTCATCATTAAATATAATATTCTGTTGACTTCTGGCCTAAATGCTTTCTAATGAGAAGCTAGTAATTAATCTTACTAAAGATCCTTTGTGAATGATGAGAAATTCTTTCCTTATCTTTGACTTTTTAACAGTTTAATTTTAAATTTTAGTGTGACTCTTTGGGTCTAACCTATTATAATTCTTTGAGCTTATAGAAAGTGCAGATTGATGACTTATCAAAGCTTTCAAGTTTTCTGCATTATTTCTCCAAATATTCTTTCTGCCTCTAACTTCTCCTTCTGAGACTCCCACAGTGTGTGCTATGTTAGTCTAGTTGACCTTGATCTACATGTTTTTTGGACTCTGTTCACTTCTTTATTCTTTTTTCTTTTCTGTCCTCCAAACAGAATCAATTCAACTGCTCTGTCTTCAAGATCACTAATTTTTCTCTTCTGCCTGCCCAAATTGGCCATTGAACCCATGAAATGAATTTTTCACTAATTGTACTTTTCAACTCTAGGAATTCTTTTGGCTCTTTTTAATAATTTCTGTATCTTTATTAATAGACATTCTCATTTTATTTACATATAGTTTTCCTGATTTTATTTATTTGTTTCTCTATCATTTCTTTTTGTTCTTTGAGACATATTTAAGACAGTTGTTGTATTGTGTTTGTCTAAGCTGGGTGGTGGCATACGCCTATAATCCCAGCAACTTGGAAGGCTGAGGCTGGAGGATGTCAAGTTCGAAGTCAGCATCAGCAACTCTGCAAAGCCCTAAGCAACGTAGCAAGACCCTATCTCAAAGTGAAAAAGGGTTGGGGATGTAGCTCAGTGGTAAAGCACCCCTGGATTCAATCCCTAGTACCTAATAATAATAAAGTTTTTGCCTCATAAGTCTAATATATGTGTTTCTTCACATACATTGAGTGATGATTTCCCTCAATCTATTTTGTTCTTTGAATAATATTAGAAAGCAGATTTTCCTCACTCCCTAGGGTTTGATATTTTTTGGTTTTGCTATCTGTTGAAAGTTGTAATAGTCCATTTATTTAGTGACTTTCCTAGACTATTTCTGTGAAGACAATATAAGGTGTCATGTGTAGCCACCGAAATCTTTGTTCCTTTAGCTTTTGTTTAGCTAGTATTTTGATAGATTTTTCCTTGACCTCTAGGAGTTAAAAAAATAAACAAACAAAAACACATTTCCTGGCTTTTTCATATTGGTTTTGTGCTGGGGTGCTTATTCATCATGTAGCCAGGTTTGCACTGCGTCCAGAGATCATGGAGAGCTGAACGTCTAGTGTCTTCTCTGAGCATGCCCCTTATCCTTGATACGTGGCTTTCTATATTTTGTGATACATTCAAATACTTTTAGGGGGCACTTATAAGTGCCCTGGTTTCTCAAAGAAAGTTTTCTTAGCCCTTCCTCCCTGTTTTAAGTGAGCATTGTATATTTCAGCTGTAATCTTTTGCTCCAGGCAACTCTGGATTGTTAGTTTATAGTGTTTCCAAGCAATGTATCCTTCTTTTTGCCTGAGTGAGTTCCTCACTAGGTGAAATGGAGGTGAGTGCCTTGCATCAATCTATTCTTCAGGTAGCTTCCAGACAGGTAGAACAGACATACATAAGAATTTGGGAAGAAGTCTGCTGTGCCCCCTCTGTAACCAGGGACCAGAGAACCACACTGAGGACCCAGGGTTAGTTAGTATCTTCAGATGGCCCCTGAGCTGATAAGGGAATGAGGCACATGCAAGAAAAAAAAATGCCACAAAATTGCCTCACTATTTTAAAGTTGCCTTTTTCTTAATTCATTGGTGTTTGCTTTATTGCTATGAATTTATTGCTTTTCAGAGTTCTGGAAAAGTTGGTTCTGAAAATTTCTAAGTTATTTTTTGTTTTTCTGGAAAGATGGGAGCTTGGAGCTGCCTACTCCAACATTTTGCTGGTATCATTCCTCATTTGTTGTAAATATTTTGGAACATTACTTATAGTCACTGTGTGTTGCTCCATTGTATAGATGTACCACAATTTATTGTAGATGTTATTGTGATGAACCTCTTTCCACATTTTTTTAAAAATTATTTTCTTTTATTGTAGAATGAATTTCCAGAAGTGGAGTAACTATGTTAAAAGTCATGAACATTTTCCTATCTTTTCTTATTTATTGCCAAATGACTCTGCAAAACTTTGGCATCAATTTGTGTTCCCACAAGCACTTCCTGAGAAGGTGTACTTCATCACTCCCTTACCTATAATTTAATAAATAGCCTTTGCCTACTTAATAGGCAAAACAATGTCATCTTGCTCTTTTAAGAATTTCTCGTCTGACTTGAATTTGAATCCATTCATTGCTTTGTTCCCTCAGTTTGTGAGAGAACACACACTTGTCGTTCAATTTGTTCATTTCCTCACATGTGTGGGCCAAAAAAGTCACTCCATCCTTCTCATCAAGAATACAACATTCTCCTGAGCTCATAAGTATAAAACTTGGCTTTATTTTGTAGTGAATCTGAACGGTGCTTACCCCAAGCTGGTGCCCTTCAGACCTGCGGGACGGCTGATCTCCCCACCTCTGCTGCTTTCTGTCATTCTCAACATTCTTCTCAGCCTGGCCATGCATATTGTTGGCTTCATCCTGGTTCAGAAACAGCCTTGGTATTCTATGGAATTGCACAGGTATGATCACAGCCTCAATTCCAGCTTCTCACATTCTAATTTCTGTCAAACACAATCTGACCAATATGAAAGGAAGCGAATGAGTTTTCAACCTGCCAATGATCTTGCCTTCCTTAAGTACTTTGGGCAAATTTCTAGCAGTTGTTTCTTCTCTGTAGCACAGTTTGATGGTATCATTCATTGTCTCTTCTCTATACTGTGTGATAATACAAATATTACCATCTGGATGGCCATAGATCATAGTTTGCTCGGTCTGCCTCCGTTTAAGCTGCCCGCCGTTACTTCATGTCACAGTGAAATTATTAAAATTTTTACTTTCAAAACTTTCCCTGTTCAATGATAAATTATATGGTCAACTGACTTATAAATGATCAGAGATCTTAAGCCACTCAAGAGAAGAATCATGATTTACTCATCTCTTTCCTGTGTACTTTTAATCTACACAGTGGGTACACAATTTGATGAATAAATAGCCAGTTGAATCTATCATCTATTGATCGATCAATCTGTCTAACTATCCATCCATCAATCAATCCATCCTTCCAACATGTAGGTCTATCATTGTGGGTTTATTTCTTCTAATTATTTAACCAAGCATAAGTAATTATAGAAGTGCTGAGTGCCTGCTCTGGACATTGTCTGGCATGGAGTCTCATGGATTACAAGTGCTTCATAGGGCTTGTCACCTTACTTCATTATCTGTTTTTGTTCTCTTTCAGTGCCTGCACAGCACAAAATCAAAGCATCTCAAAGTTAAACATTTCTCCAACTGTTCCTGAAAAAGTTGGAAGTAATAGTGCCTTTACAAGTTTTGAGAACACTACTATATGGTTCTTGGGAACAATCAACTGTATCATTGTGGCTTTTATATTCTCTAAAGGAAAACCATTCAGGCAGCCCACCTATACAAACTGTGAGTAAAGTTGTATGGGATCAGAAGTGAAGGGTCATAAGAGAGAATAGAAATGCTCAGGCCACACAAGAAACAGCTAAGTGAACTCACCTTGTGTCTCCTAAATCCCACTCTAGAGCTCTGTAAAGCACCGTGTGCAGCCTCACCCCTGGGGTTCTTGCTCCTTACTTTAAAGCTGCATTAGATCAGAGGCTTCCCCCCATCTTTTCCCTTCACCTGATGTTTTTAGGTGTCTTTTTTGGGGATCACTCCAAATTGAGAAGATTGATTTATTTCCTTACTTGTCAGAATTCATTCTGGCAGGTGGGAAGAGGGGTCAGTTGGAACCAGTCTTCTGTCATGAAGATAGTGGTCAGAACGCTATTATGTGGTGTTGGGTTGGGAGCAGGTCCAGCCTGGAGAAACCTGTAAAGAGGATTGAGGAGGCTCTCTGCTGAAATACCTCTTGTCTTCTTACATTTGAGTAGAGGAGGTATGACAGGAGGGGCAGTGGGTTACTATTTAGTCTCTGGGTCATTAATATGTATATAAGCCCTTCCCCTCCAACTGGGGAGATTGAGAAGCACAAGTTGAAGAATCAGTATCCTTATAAAAATATATTAGTTCAAGGAAAATTATTTTGTCTTTCTCTTTCTTAGGCTGAGGAGTCACTGAATGCTGACCTCTATATAATTGCAATTTAAAAATATTTTTATTTATAGCCCTCCTTTCTTTTCCAGAAAAAAATTGAGACAGATGAGTTGTATTATAGAGAGCCAGATACTTGAATGTATTCACAGCATTTATTGAAAATGTATTCTGTCAATGTTCTATCTCTAGATATTTACCATTTTTATTAATTGAAACTTATAATATGCATGTGGAAATTACCACTTGCCTCAAGGATATGCTTGAAAATTACAGATGTGAGTCCCATTGCATAGAAATGAGTGCTTGCCATCTATTATGCTGTGTTTGATGTAGAAATCAAGTAAATTTAATGCTAATCTAGAGTATGTCTGTCAATAAATGTGACACTTCATACTCTGATTTCTCAAAATGATAGCTTGTGTTCTTATTTCCTCAGATATATTTGTCCTTGTGCTGATTATACAGCTGTGCGTGTGTATATTCATTCTATTTGCTGATATTCCAGAATTGTATAGAAGTTTGGATGTAAGTTTTATCTCTGGGGATATGATGATGTTTTACAGTTTTGTTATACCCTGACTTTAAAAATCAGGTCACAATTGCAATTGACATGGATTTTTGTTTTATTTGTCTTTCTTAGACATACATGACAATAGAGTGTATTTTAACGCATTATACATACATGGAGTGTAACTTATTCTATTAGGATCTTATTCTTGTGGTTGCACATGATTGACATGGATTCTTAACACCAATTATATACTTTTGGAATGGCAGAGTTTTAAAATGCTGAATGTAAACCTACTTTTAAATTTAAGCTGATCAGGAAAAATAATTCTATCTAGTCTGGATTTCCTGAGAATAAAGGCAGCCTTTGAAAAGTATTGAGAATTTTTCTTTTAAAAGATCCCCTGTAAGAGTGGAATAAATCTATTTATACATTTTCTCTCAAATATGTAAGAGAATTTTCTTCTAAGTGCTTCTGTTTTAAAGCTGTTTAAAACAGTTTGCCTGCAACAATTTTTAGATTGATTCTCAAATCTGTATTTACATTTCCCCCTCTTTAAAAACACATTTTTCTGCATGTTCACACTTAATGTATGAAAACTTACTCAAAGAGCCCAATTCTATCTCATGCACTCTCTTACATTTTATAATATTGGGACACCTTTGAAACCCTAAGAGATACCACACTTTCACCTACTCAAACAAGGGAAGAGCAAGTATTTTGATTCCTCCAGTCTATTCCACTTTTGAATTCAGATGTAATCATTGCTAAATGTTCTTTACATCAGTAAATACACTCAGAAGTGCTGGATAAAGGAACTGAGCTTTTTAAAAATAGTGTGGTGTATATTTTAACCTAGTGCTTTGCTTGCCTCTCTGTGTAGAAGATTAGTTTTAACAGGGCCAAGATCATATCCTCTTCATTATTGTGTTACCAGTGCCTTATTCAGCGAAAAGCACAAAATGACGAAGGAATGACTAACTGATCAGCATATTAGGTTGCTAAATTCAGACAAGCACTTTGGACATACAGTGCATGCAAAACCAGCACACCTTCATGAGCTCATGGTGACTTTGACATTCTAACAAAATATCTATCTTAGTTTCTTCATCTTTATAATTGTGTTATTTTGGTTAGCAGTGTTACCATTGTCAAATGTCTTCATTAACTAGAATAATGGCTTGTAGAAATACATAGACTTTATCCACAAGCTAACCTTCCTAATCCTGCAGAAGTTAAGGTTTAGCCATGTTGGTTTAAGCACACTCTTAAGTATAGGAAGACACCCAGAAAGCCTGGACACCTGCTGTAACAAAGCCGGGAACCTATTTGGTTGGAGGGAAACTATGTGGAGTCATCGCCATTCTGACCAGAGGATCCCTCCAAGAATTATTGTTCACTTTGAAAATAATTATGTTTCTTTTTATTGCATAAACGTATGAGTTCATTAAAGAAGATTTAGAATATGCAGGCAAGGAGAATTATAATATTATTCACTATATCCTTCTATCCTTCAAAATTCATGTATTATAAATGTGCATTGACTAATTTATGAAATTTATTTTATCTTAAATGGAATCATACGGTTTTGCAACCTAAATACTGCTCTTTTTTAAAAAAATAGTTTTTTTTAAATAGGGAGTACATTCACATGGTTTAAAATTCAAAAATTATAATATAGTGAAATCTCTCTCCCATCCTACCTCCCCTCTGGTGGCAACCAATGACCAATTTATGTTATATAACTTCACACTTATTTTATACATATGTACAGAAGTATATGTATATATTTCTTATGTGCATATCATCTACGTTTTTACATAAATAATAACAAACTATTATATTTATTCATTATTCTGAGATGTAGATATCAAGGTGGGGGCAGTGATTATTGTAAGAGATTTATTTATTGGAGGAGCTGCCTGTGGAGGAAAGAGTAGGAAGCCAGGGGAGGTGGGGAGAGGCATCATCCTGCTCTGTGGGCCTGACCTTGTGAAGGAGAGATGGAAGGATGGAGGCTGCCTGAGCAGACTGAGCCTGCAGTGCAGTCCCAAGGAAGCGGAGCCAAAATAGCCTGTCAGGAGTATCTGGAATCTCACAGGATCAAGTCTCATGAGGATCTATGTCATCCACATTTATGGGCCATGAGCAGCCCATGAGAAATATGGCTTTCAGGTGGATGTGGTGTTGCATTCTGAGTATACTAGTTGGGACATCCATTATTCATTTTTCTAACTGCAGGAGATCTGAATAGAACATCTTCATAGCTGCTATGACTTACACCTCACTTCTTTCATGCCACTGTGTATTTTGGTAATTGTTTCGTACCAGGACATAAACCCTCATTACATTTACTGACAACATAATATTATTTTATAGATATACACACACATATATATTGTATTTTATTATATGGCACATGTTAGACATATACCATAATTTATATGGAGTCCCCTATTAATCGACATTTAGATGATTTCCAATTTTTCACTATTACAAACAAAGATACAATAACATAACATTGCACATATATAATTTCACCCATTGTACAAGGATATCTCTGGGATAAATTCCTAGAAATGGATTTTAATTTTTAATTCTGAGAGCTCTGTTCTCTATAGAGCTGCATCAGCTTTTACCCCCACCAGTGTCTGAGGCAAGGTTCAGGACTGCTGGGTATATCAGAGAGTACTTGATTTTTTTTCATTCATTCTTCATCCTTCCACCCACTCATCCATCCATTTATCAGTTAATTCATTCATTCAGCACACATCCATATATGTCAAGCACGGTGTGGGAAGGAGTTAGGGAAGACACTGAAAAAGTGTGTAAAAAGACAGGTAGTGATAATCTTGACTTCAGCTCCAATTGCTCCTTTGTCAAGTTCCCTTTGAGGACACAGCCCATGCAGCTGCAGGCACAAGCCCCAACCCAGTACTCAAAAGCAGGATTCGACTAAGGAGAGATGGCACCAGAGGGAAGAGGATAATGCTGTCCAAGGTGGAGGTGTGACATAAGTACCCACTGCTTGGGAGTACAGCCCTTTTCCTGTGTTCCTTCTTAAAAATAAAACAAAGCAGGAAGGAAAAAAGTTTTGATTATTATCTATTTTTATTGCCAACTGAGCAAAGTTATTTTAGGTAATTTATACATTACAGAGAAAAGAAAGAAGAATAAAACAATCATCATCATCATCAAATTGTTGGAATCATTGAATACAAGCCTTCCACACTTTTTCTATGTATATTTGCACAGAAATTCTTTATATGTATGTATGTAATACTCCTACCTACCTACATACATAAATTGGTATATACATATTACTTATGTGGTTTGTAACCTGTGAAAACATACAGGGTGAATGTGAAGACTTTTCAGGTGAAAATGTATTTGTTCTTAGACTAACTGTGCTTCATCACCCCCTGCCAGCTGCTCTGCACGCCTGTCCTGTGGAGGGTCTACATCCTCATCATGCTCAGCTCCAATTTTTTTGTGTCTCTTATTGTGGAGGTAAGTGCCCTCATGGCCTGATAATCACTCTGTGTGTGTGTGTGTGTGTGTGTGTGTGCATGTGCGCGCAGACACATGTGCACTCTTCATTTCCCCACTCACCTCTTTTGTCCCCCCTGGCAACCACTAATCTCCATTTTGTTTCTATGGGTTTGTCTGTTCTGGACATTTCACATAAATTAAATCATCCCGTATGCTGCTTTTTGTATCTGGCTTCTTTCACTTAATGGCTTGTATCAGTTTTACTTTACAGATAGGAAATGAGATGCATAGTCAGCTTTTATTCTGCAGCTTCCATTTGCCCCTTGTCCTCACTGAAATGAACTGAGGATCCCCTTTTTATTTCTACATAGTTCAGTATCTCTTCCTTTAGGGCTGTTAGATAGAACTCCCTTCTTTAAAGCTTGCTGTTGGACAGGGGGTGCCTCCTAAAATGCCTCCACAAAGAAGTGAGATAAAGGATTCCACCTGTCTCTATTCATTCTCCAAATTATAAAACTAGATTGTCCCAACAAATCAGGTATTCATCATTATGAACTCCTTTCAGCCTGACTTCCCTGAGGTGTTGTAAAGGTAGGAGCTCAATAAACCTTCCTTAGCATGCAAAGTCTGCAGAGTGTCTGGTGGCAGAATAGGGCATTGAATCAGAGCATCAGAGCTTCTCCATATATGCTAAGACAGAGTTTCTCAAACATGAGTGTGCACCCAGAACACCTGGAAGGCTTGGCAAACCCCCAGGCTGTCTGATTCAGTAGGTCTAGAGTAGGCGTAAACATTAGTGTTTGCATTTCTGACAGGCTGCCAGGTGCTTCTGATATGGCCTGACCACAGTTTAAGAAGCATTATGCCTAACCCTGTGGTCTCCAAAGCAACCAAATTAAGAGGAGAGAACAAACCCCATGGGTATCCTCAAACTGAGTTATAGAAGGATGGTCCTTGCCCTTTAAAGGAAAACCTTGTGTGTATATCTTGTCCTTATCCATGCTCACAGGGTTTCCTCCATCTGGTATATGTTTCCCCAAGTTTGCACACTAAAGCTCTATTTCATCCTCTATGACACAACTGAAGTACCGCCCACCTCATGAATCTTTCCTGATCTCTGAATCTGTTAGAAAAACAATAAAATTCAAATAATGGTAGCTTGAACAATAAAGATATTTATTGACTTAACAAGAAGGGTGGAGGTAGGTGGCTCCAGGACTTGGTATGGTTAGGGATCTGCATTCTTTGATCTTTCTCTCCTACAACCTTGGATGTCACTGCCCATAGAGCTCCCATAGAGTTGTATGATGTATCTGTTTTCATCATGGAAGGAGAGGCACCAGCAAGCTTTTTATCACTCAAATCCGAATTTTTAAAATCAGTCAATAAAAGTTTTCTGCAGCCCATCAGCAGACTTCATGTGGGTGTCATTGGTTAGAAGTGCATCATTGTCCTGACTAGAAAAGGATTCTGGGAAAGGTACTCTGTGCCAAAAAATTAGACAAATTGCCTCAGACCTTTTATTTTCTTTATTTCCTCCTCCTCCTCCTCCTCCTCCTCCTCCTCCTCCTCCTCCTCCTTTTGTATACTGGGGATTGAACTCAGGGCACTTTGCCACTGAGCCTGAGCCACATCCCCATCCCTATTTTGTATTTTATTTAGAGACAGGGTCTCATCAAGTTGCTCACCTCGCTTTTGCTGAAGCTGGCTTTGAACTCACCACCCTCCTTCCTGAGCCCCTGGGATTACAAGTGTGCACCACTGTGCCCAGCCAGACTGATTTTTGGACAGTTTTTGTTGTTTGTTTGTTTGTTTGTTTGTTTGTTTGTGGTGGGCAGGGAAGAGCTGGGAGGGAGTGGGCCACCGGATGGTCAAGTGTCAACATCTCCCCTAATCTGCCAGGAAACCCTTCTCCTGTCAGCATACCTGTAGTGAACAGCTGCTCAGGGTAGTCTACCTGGGTGTGAATTCTGCCTCCCGGACTTTCTTGCTGTCTGACAATTGAGGCAATTTACTCCACTTCTTCGCATCTGTTTCCCCTCTATAAAATGGAGCCAATAATAACACCTTACCTCATAGGGTACTGAAGCCTGAAATGTGAATGGTGAAAAGCACATAGTAGGGGTTTGAAAATATAAGCCATAATATTTACCTTATCTCTTATGCATTACCATTTCTTACTTTGTATCTACCAGTCCTTTAATCATTCCTTTCATCTTTCAATTCTTCTCATGAGTATTTGCTGGTCATGTGCCAATGTCCTCCGGCACTATGCCACACCATCTGCCAGGAGAAAGAGGACTAGTGCTATAATTATCTGCACGTTCATTTCTTCTCTCACCTGCCCTTAGACTATGTTGGCAAGGACTCCTGTTAGTAGCTACTGCATCCAAAACTCTGCTTTATTCCAGTAGGGGCTAAATTAAAGTTTATTCAATTATTAAATGTAAGAAGCTCCCAAATAGAAAGGGTAAAAATTTGATGCTCATGAAAGGTAAAGTTTCTTCTTTGTTTCTCATGTTGAGTGAGAAATACAGATGTGTACCTGAGTGTTTAGTTCCCAGTAGCTGCTAAATTGAAAAACAACATCGAAGGGTAGTAGATCCCAATCCAGGTGCCTCCACTTCATCTCCAGATGCTCAGAGGTGCCTGATTTCCTTGAGGTCAGCAGGTACTTAGGGATAACCAAAACCACTTGAGACTTTGGTGAAGGCAGTTGCAACTGAGAATTATGGATACTAAGTTTTCCTGCCTTGTGTAGGTAAATGGCTCTGGGTATGTGTGTCAGAGATGCTAAGGATTCCTGGGATGAGCTGTACCAACCACATACTGCCTGGCCAGTCTGTAGCACTGATGTTCCAGAGAGGTTTTTTAAAGAGCAGGCATGAAAGATGGCTGGCCTCCTTTTATACATCCTCAGTATTGCTTGGTTTGCTGAGGTCTAACTCCAATCCCAATCCTAACCCTTGTTGTAACCCTAATCTTAGAGCAGTGCAGAAAACAAACAGGTTTCAACAGGACCTTATTATGTCCCTTTCCTCCTGCTGAGAAGATGTAAGAGCTAATATGGACAGCATTAGTCACCTCCACTTTTTAAATTAGGTGTGTTTATTTGTGTGTAAATATATGGCACATGGATTACATTGTAGCCAGTCTGAAAAGCTCATGTGGTGAAGTTTATTTATTTATTTATATTATTATTATTACTTTTTGCGGGGGTGGGTACCAGGGGTTGAACTCAGGGGCACTCAACCACTGAGCCTCATCCCCAGCCCTATTTTGTATTTTATTTAGAGACAGGGTCTCACTGAGTTGCCTAGTGCCTCGCTTTTGCTGAGGCTGGCTTTGTGTGTTTTTTTTTTTTTTTTTAAGAAACAGTGTCTTATTCAGACTTTCCTTTTTTTTTTTCCTAGCTGTGCATTTAATTTATAATGTAGAGTGACAGGCCAGATAAGCTCTCAGTGCTTCAGTGTCCCTTTCCAGAGCAGCAAGGTGACAGAGGTCATCACACTTTTAGAACTGAGGAAAGCTCCAGGGGAGATGGAGAGCACTAAAGTTTCTCCATCTCTCTCTCTCTCTGTCTCTTTCTCTGTCTTTCTCGTGTGTGTGTGTGTGTGTGTGTGTGTGTGTGTGTGTGTGTGTGGTTTAATTTGAAATCCTGCTAAGTTTTCTTGGAGTTAAATTAGACTTAAAAGCTGCGAGTTGATGCTCATGTTCCTGCCTTATCCCAGCTCTACCGAGAACTATAGTTCTCTTGTTAAATGAGGACAAAACCCTGCTGTGGACAGTAGAATAACAAGTCTTGCTGGCTGAGCCCTGAGGTTTGCACGAAGCAGATGAAGGCTACGTGGGTCTTCCATAGCCTCCAGAAGATGATCTCTTTTAGAGGAAAGAGATGAGTGCCCATCTATTCTTCATTGGGTAATAAGACTTAAACAGCAAAGATGGGTGAATTTTAGGAAAATCACTGTCTTTGGCAAAGTTCCTTGTAGAATCCCATACAGTTAACTCTTTCAACTTAGCAAAGATACATGGTGGACATAAAAATCATGTCTAATTTTATGGGACAACTTGGGTTCTCATATTTTCTCACTTCTTTCATGGTAACATCTACGATGCTCAACTTTTGTGACCAAATATGATAAAAGTGGAAAATTAATACACTAACATATTATGCACTCAACATTATAAGTTATACTGTGGTCTCTGTTCAAGGCTCAGTCTCTCATGAAATAAGATATCATCAGACCACAAGCTTCTAGAGAGGCATGTGTAGACAGGGCCACGGTGCACAGCCATTTGTTAAAGGAGTAGTTAAGAAGGGTGGGGACAGGGCGGGAGCTATGCCATGCTCGGCCCTGCATTGTAAGGAGAATTATGTATCCTAAAATCAACATAAGGAGGGGATTATTACTTCTAACCACTGAGACTTGGATAGGGTAATTAATTTGCCCACAGAAATTGTTAGAGCTGGGACCTGAATCCAGATCTGTTCAACTCCAAGACGGAGGCTTGTATTCTAATTTCAACAACCTCTATTCATGACGAGGCATGATATGCCAGGGTGTACCAGAGAAATATAGACAGCACATTGAGTGATTTGAAATTTAATTTAGATGTGAGACTCAAAATAAGTCTATCTTTCAGGCAGGTCACTTTGGGCTTGGTTTCCAGGTTCTAGAAAGTATATGTTCTTTCTTCCCAGAAAAATTACTTAAGTAGTGAAGTTTGAGAAACCAAGACTTATCTCATGAAACCTTCTTACATTTGTTAGGGATCAAGTTCTTTGTTAAGCTGAATCTAAGCAGCAGTAACAACAGTGCCTTATTATGGTCTGTGAAGTGCTTTAGCTCCAGAGGCCCTGACCTCTGATGGTAAACAGAAACTTTTATTTTGCAGGAGGCCATTATTGAAAACCGAGCTCTGTGGATGGCAATCAAAAAATGTGTTGGCTATCAATCAAAAAGTCAGTATCGAATATGGCAGAGGAACTTGGCGAATGATTCCAGCTGGCCCCCGCTAAACCAGATCTCCTACTCTGATATGCCTGGGCGTGGCAGGGGGGTGTCCTACAGCAATCCTGTGTTTGAAAGCAATGAGGAACAGCTCTGAAGGGAATGTGATAGCCAAGTGATATCACAGAGAAACAATGACAAAGTGACCTGTCTCAGTGATGTTAAAGCAGAGGGACTCTTATAATATCAACTGGAGTTTGGGGGATACCAAAATCAATATCAAATTATGGTGAGAAATTAAAGTCTGTCTGAGAAAGTACTTTCTACAGAGAAGAACACCACCCCCTAGAAGAGTACATTCCTCTTGGCTTTTGAAAGTATTGGAGGCACCCGGTGGACCATGGATGGGCCAAGGATTGAAGTTGGTCAAGAGATTGGCAAGCCGAGGAAAACACAGAATCTTTCTTCTTAGGATAAGTCTTTCTTTTTTTCCTTTAAAAAAAAAAATGAGTTGAAGGGAAGTCATACTATGTATAGTTATAGAGTCGTAACAAGCTACAGGTCAGTTCTGAACTTTTACTTCATTGATGGAAAAACTAATCCATGGGAATCATCATGGCAGTCTTGACTCTCTGATTTCCTTTCCTGTGCAGTAATTTTCAGGTTTGAAGCTTCTCCCTCTGCTTCTGGGTTTCCCCTACATATTGTTCAGGATAAGTTCAGCCGACGCTCCAATAACAACCCCCACATCTCAGTGCCTTCATATGCTGGAGCTTCTTTCTTACTCCAGGTGACTCTAGGACAGCTGTACTGACAGTGCCGACTGATGAACTGATGGATCCCCCTGGGCTCCATGCTTCTGGTGGCAGGGGAAGGAAGATACTGGAGACCACATGGGGTGCTTCACAGTCTCATCTCAAAGTCTATTCTGCTCTCATTTCACTAGCCAGGGATTTGGCCACAGAGCTGGAAAGTGTGGTCTCTTGTGTCTGGGGACTCTTCATAGTTCTGTGTGTGTGTGTTTTGCTGGGGATTGAACCCAGGGCTTCATGCACTCTAAACAAGCACACTACCATGGAGTTACACCTCCAGCCCTTAGGGGGTCTTCATAGACATGTGGCCTGTGCCCACACAGGTTCCCCTGCTTCCAAGGGCCTCGTGCTTGGTTTAATGCTCTGCTGCTTCTATGGTATAACTTTTTAAACAAAGTTGCCTCATTTTCATTTTTGCACTGGGCCCCACAAATGATGTAGCTCTCTGACTCACATTCTAGGGGAAGCAAGGAAAGTAGCATCTCAAAGAGCCTGAGTATTATACACTGAACTCTTCTTCTCCCAACCCTGTGAATGTCTCTGTTTTAGGAACTCCTAATCTCATGTGCTCAACTCCAAGAGTTTCCACTTTTCTGCTTCTTATTTTTGAGAAATTTTAGTCTCGTGCATTTTGCAAAATATATATCATCATTATAGAAGTCACCTCATAACGTTTGCATTTTCTAAGTTTAAGCCTTCAGTTTCTAGAAAACAACAAAAAATTCTCTTATTTTATCACTATTACAACTTGTTCATATTGTATTAATTCAGCATAGAAAACACCCAGTTTTCTGTTAAGTCACTAGATGATATTGAATTCTAGGAGAACATTCACATACAGTATTTCAAAGCAAAAATAAAATTTCATCATGAACATGAAATCCTAAATGAGTGCTTTGAGCAGGACATGAGTGTTCTGGTCCTGGTAGGCTTTGCTATCTATGAACAGCACCTGCCAGTGTCCCTTTCCCCAGCTGAGCTCTTGAGGATAGTTGTTAGCTCTGGGACTGTGACTACAGCTGCTTCTGGGAAAATCAGTGTCTCATAGCCATGAGGGTACCGGTGCTTCTGCTGCTGATTTTAAAGTAGGGTATGAGGAGGTCCATGTCCCAAGGCTGCATAATCATTGTCTCCTTTGGTACAGAAGGAAATGTTTCCATCTGCAAAGACAGCCTCACCACTGATATGGTGGCTCAAAACTCTTTTTTCTAAAGCAGATAGATTTTTTTTTTTCATTTCCCAAAAGTAGACAGTTATAGCAGGGGCATAGAGGTAGCTCACAACCTCGTCATGACTAAGAACAGTGTGCACAGTTAGTACTTTAAAAATCCCCTCACCAAGTGCTTTCCCTCTACTAACTCATTGGAATTGCACAATTCTCCAGTGACTACACAAGGAAGGGCTTATCTTTCCCAGATGAGAAAACGGAGATTTAGGTTGGTAAGAGCAGACCCAGACCTCAAACACAGATCTTCTGAGCAAGCTTTATATTGCTCCCAAATAGTTCCTAATTAGAAAGTTCTAGTAGGGCATGTTTTCAGAGTGATCTCACAGTTAAGCAAAGAATGGATTTCTTATTTGCCAGGTGGAAGGAGGTTACCCTTTGCTAATAACAGGGCCTCTGTTCAAATGAATGCAGGCATCCTGCCAGGCCTGGGCCAAAGGTGTGCTAAAAACAAAACAAAACCAAAAAAAAGAGTATCTGTTTGTCTTTCTGAGGCTGTGAGTTGCTCTTGCCTTGGTCCTCATGTATTCCAATCTCAGAAACTGTCAATGGCTGGCAGGAAGCAGGGGTAGAGGACTCTTGTCCCCCACTAGCCACCAACCCTAAATCTTTGCCAAAGGGATTCTTCTTAAAGACTGCCTTCTTGGGACCAACTGCATCTTAGAAGCAGTAAGTGATACTGGCTGAGCGGGGAAGGAGCTGGGGAACTGCGAGAGCAGCACTCAGATACTTGATAGATGGTCACGGAAAAGAAGGTGCTTGAGCCGGCAGAACAGGGATGAGGGGCAAAGAGCAGGTGGAAGGACCCACAGCTAATGTGAAGACCCCAGCCCCAGCAGCCAGCTCTGAGGGAAGTGAAAACTGGGGAGCACAGGCTGTGTACCCGGTAATATCGCAGGTATTAGTGGCTGGTCCAAGACCAATTAGAGAAGGGAGTCAAGTATCAGATGGAACTTGATTACCTGCAAAACCCCTTCCCCACTTGGGACACCCACTGTCTGAGTCTTACACCATGATGTGAATCATTTGCTACAACTGTCCACACAGAATATCACATGGATACACTTGGCAGATGGGCTAGTGTGGACATACCAATTTGACAGCTCTGTGCCTTGGATGGGAATTTCTAATGGGGATAAGAGCCTAGAAAAGAGGCAGAGTGAGGGCTCCTCACTGCCTAATCAACAGCTCCAGGAATATTTTCGCTGTGTGTATTTTCTTGAAAAGAGGTATGGGAAAACTTTGAGTAAATGATCCTGGGAGAGGGCCCCAAATGTGAGTATAGAGTTACCTGCCCCAATACACTTTCCTGAGCAAGATTCGGAGAAGAAAAGGACATCATCAATGATTCAGATAATCAGAGGGGTCTCCCATGTGTTCATTCCAAGGTATCCAATGCTTGTCTGACGAGAAGCACCCTGGCTTGTGCTCTCCCCACTCCACATGCGAAAATCCGAGAGTGGAAATATGTCTTGTCCTCAGTGTTCTCATGTGCTCACAGAAATGTGCATGTACAGTAGCCGATGTGGTGATGGGAAAGTGATTATTTATTCAGAAACTTGTATTTAGTTTATGCGATAATAAATTATTCTGTACAAAAGAGATAAGTAAATCTACAATCCTATTGTCCTAAAACTTCTCTCTTTCTGTCTCTGTCTCTGTTTCTGCCTCTCTCTCTCTCCAGGGAAGTCTTTCATTCTGGCTAACACAATCTGGATGTTCTCTTCCAGCAATGTGACTCAAAGTCACATCTTCACAAAGTTCCAGGCACTTCCTCACTCCACGCAAGCTGTTATTCCTGCATTATTCACAGGGCTTTACAGTTTGCAGAATGTTTCCATACTTTTTCTCTCATTTAGGCCTCATAGCAATCTTGGAAGGAAAGCCAGGCAAGATCGGCTCTCCCCCTACTTCTAATGAGATTCCAGATTCTCCAAGAGGCTCAGTAATGGCCAAGGACATGCAGCTAGTTGCAGAGGAGCTGAATGCAGACGCGGGTCCTCTATCAGCAAATTCCCTGCTGTGTCATTCTTTAATGTTGTTTTCTTCGAAATGAAAAGTTTGTAGCATTGAAAAACACGCTGGCAGCAAGGCGACTATCCAATGCAATTGCCACCATGAGTATAATTTCCTTCAGAAAGAGATTTTAGTTTCTCATAGAAGTTCTCCTGAACCTGACTGTCAATCTCAGGAAAGGTCACCTCCCACGACTGAGAGTGTAACATCATAAAACCAGTGCCCTGTGAGCCTGCTCCACGTGATCAGATGAAGCTCCCTTTCTGATTGCAGCCTCCTGAAGCAGAAGACTAAAGCCTGCTGGAAAGGCATTCAGCCCCTGCTTTGCACAGGATGGTATAGATTCGTCTTTTGGCTTTGAACTATGTTCATTTCTGTATGCATAATTAATTTAAAAGCTGCTGCCACATAGCATTCTGTCTGCCCTTTGGTTTCTATTAGATTTGTTAAAAAGACCTTCTAAAGTTGACCAATAAAATGTTTTGTTTTGTTTTTTCCAAAATTGAACAAACATACAAACAACAACAACAGAACAAAGCTCGGCTGGAGTTGCTGAGAGGGCCCAGGAGTGAGCCCCCTGACCTTTCCAGACACGCCAGGCCCATTGCTCCCCTGCTTGGCCTGCTCTCTGCCTTGCAGGCTCTGGATCTGCTCCCCTCCTGCCCAGCACTGGGGCTCCTCTTCAGATTTCAGCTCAATTGCCATTTCTTTCTAGTAACCTTCCCTGAGCACTTCATCTAATGTCACCAAGCCTTTAGATTGGTTTGTTTTCTCGTCATGCTTGTGCAGCCATTCAGGTGACTGAGGTTGAAAGGGAACTACCTGTACAAGATCACATTCTTAGAAAATTGGTGATCTGAGTCTATTGACTTCTAAATCAAGGTTCTTCATAGTCCTCATCTCTAGCCAGATGCTGCGGATTCAATTAGCTAATCCACTGAGAAAAAGAATGCAGGACATTGTAGAGTCCTGTGTGCGTTGAATTCAGAGCACTCCAGGAGTCATTTAGACTCTCCCAGATCTGTTCCCTTGCTGTCTCCTCCCTCCTGGCTCCCTCTCCTGACTGTCAACTCCATGAAAAGTCTGGTGAATCACTGCCTGTGA